AATAGCAGCAAAACCTAGATTTTAGAAAATTTTGGTATAATGATCTCAGACTACTTTCAAATAAAAAACAAGCATCACCACTGAACTCAGCATGATCGATTACCTAAAACTAATGCTTTTAAGGATGATTCTGCATCACTTAGTCGATTTCAAGGATCTCAGGAGTTCGCCTATAGTTGTTGAACCGAGCAAGCTATCGATCTCGGCCTTGCGTGGATCGAAAGAAAACAATTTTTTGCATCGAGTGGTTTAATTGAGGTTCAAAATTCAACGAAAAAAGCGTTCCAAAAGCTATCTGCAAAATGTCCAGTGAGCTTTCATCCTATTGGTCCATTACTGACCAATGAAATTTTTTCATAGATTTGTGTGCTCCGGTGTTCCCTTTCTATTGGTAAAAACCGCAGCTCGATAGATATTTCCATTCTCAAGTTATTCAACATACAATCACCCACATTCTATTATGAAATGGATAGTAATGTGTCTCATGAGAAAAGTTCCCCAAGTGATGACTCGTTTTTCTTCCTTGCAAAAACGTAGGACTGGTAACAGTTCATTGCGCTGATTCCGAATATCATGTTCTTAGCGGCTTATATGCTATTCCTTTACTATGTGTCATCAAATGAAATACCAATAAAAATATTTTTTTTTACAGACATTCTAATCTTCAATGTAAGATATTACGTAATCTATAAAGCAGCGACGTAATTCATATGTTAATTTTACGAATAATCATCTGACACTTATTCACAAACTAATAGGTATTATTACTACTGAATATAAACACACTACAAGATAAACAAGAGTGTGGTGGATGTTCAATATCTAAACATTAGATGTGATAAAAATTTCTATAATATTATTAATTTAAAAAATGTGTAGAGATCATTGACCGATAGATAATTATTGAGTAAATTGCATCATGCGTGTTTTAACATTTTGGAATAAATAAAAAGTTGATATACACAATTAGGATAATGGAGATATAATCAATATCAGCTTGTATGAAGCGCTATATGTGTACACGTATGTTAATTTCCTAAGATATAGTACATTGATACATTCTGAATAGATTTTTAAAACAAACGGTAAATCGAGCTAGCTTATGTAATAATACATAAAATTCGTCCTATCATTATGTGAAAAAATCAAGCCTAAAACAGTACTTTTGTATACTTAGTCTTTCTCTGTTTTACGATGTATCTTATTATTTGACATTAAAAGTTGAAATGTGTGTAAAGCAAAAATATTTTTGATGATATTTCGTCCGGTTATCATAATAAATGGATTAGAAGAGGATTGGTAATTATGATATAGAATCTAGAAAGATATATAGGCCGCTAGGATCATGATATTTGGAATCAACAAAATGAACTGTATACATCATATATTTTTCGATGAAAAAACGAGTCACCATTTGAAAAACTTACCTCGTCAGATATACATATATATATCAAACCAATTATATTGATCTTTTCGTGAGGAGAAAACAGAAGTGACTTCAGTCTTGAATTCATTCGAAATTATACGTTTACTCTCTCTTTCTCTTTCTTATTCTATTTGATAAAAGTGAATTTTAAACGAAATTTTAATATATTTTTTTATCAAAGATTGATTGAAGATGAAATTATATAGCATCAGCATAAAATGAATGTTACATGTATGATCAAGAAAATCATGAAGCAAATTATGTTGAAGCAATTGGAGAATAGCGTCTTTGTTGCAATGTATTCATTGGAGAATAGAGAAGACTTTCTAATCGATCTTATTTCATGTCGAATTTAAAGATGACTCTAACAAGTAGAATGGTTGTCGTAGGAATGGTAGGATCGTTCTTGATATCTGATTTTACATAAAATTAATAACAGATGGTGATTGTTGTGATGGTAGTTATCCACCTGTCATTTTACTCCAAAAAGAGGCCACTCCAGAAGGTGGCTGCGACGTTTGATTTCCAGCAGGATTCGTTGGAGGTGGCGCTGCTGCCATTTGATTCCAAAGAGAGTTCACTCCAGAAGATGGCTGCGACATTTGATTTCCAGCAGGATTCGTTGGAGGAGGCGCTGATGCCATTTGACTCCAAAGAGAATTCATTGGAGGAGGTGGTGGTGGTGGTGGTGGTGACATTTGATTTCCACCAGGATTCATTGGAGCAGACCCTGATGCCATTTGACTCCAAAGAGAATTAATTGCAGAAGGTGGAGGGCCTTGTTGTGATGGATTACCCATTTGACCCCACATACTTGCTACGGCAGAATTCGGTTGATTAGTTGCAGTTGATACATTATGTGGAGCAGGAAAATTTGGCACAGATGCTTGGTATTGTTGCTGTGGTGGTGGTGGTGGATTCATATTACCACCAGCTCCACCCATTCTACCAAACAAACTAGCAAGACCACCAGAGCTTTGATTAGATGTATTTGCTGCTGGTGCATTCCCTGGTGAAGGCATAGTTTGCATTGCTCGCCAAGCATTTTGAATAGAAGGAGACTGAGATTGAGGAGAATTTCTTAACATTGCTTGCCATTGTTGGTTAATATTAGACTGTGACTGCGGTAGAGACAAGTTATCTGGAGCTCCCGCTCCCGCCATTCGTTGCCAAACATTGCCTAATAAACTGTGAAGATGAGGAGGGGATTGTTGTTCTCGATTCCAATCAGAACTAGAATGATGTTGTTTTTGATGTTGCCGACGACGATGACGGGATGAATGTCTTTTATAATCATCACTGTCTGAAGTTGAATCGTTACGACAAACTATTCGTCGATGACGTCGTGGTCGGAAAGGACGTCTTTGATGATAATCACGCTCTAAATCTGGAGCTTCGTGACAAATTAATCTTTGATGACGATCCGATCGTGCTGAACGTCTTTGATAATAATCACTGTCTGAATCTGAAGTATCATGACAAATTAATTGTCGATGATGATCTGATCGTGGTGGAAGAATGACTTCTGTTACAGGTGGTGTATCTTTGAGAAAAATAAAAGAAAAAAGAAAAATTATTCATATTTTAATAATAATTTTACTCGTACAATAATTATTATAACATGAAGATCGCTGTAAGGAGTTAACATCCACACCAAGTTGTCTTAAAATTGTGTTAAGTGATACATCACCTGTAAGAAGTAATATATTAGCGAAATTTTCTTTTATAGTAAAAAAAATAAAAAAAATAAAACGAACTTGAAACTTGGAGGACGATAGGATTTCTATGTGGGGTAGAAGTGATTGATGGTGTACAATGCATGGTAATAGCTGGAGATAAATTATCTATTGGTGACGTATAATTCTAATCAATAAAAGAAATTTGTTTATATTTACATATTAACATAGTTAATTATACTTACTGGTAATAATGGATTGGTATTGTAATTTGAATATGGTGTTGAAGATGTATGATAACCAGAATAAGGAAATTCGTACATCGAACTGCCTGTTAGATACTCCATGATAATATCAAGTACTTGCTACCCCCTTACTCTATCAAGAAATGAACTAATGATAAAAATATATCTATTGAAGGACAAGTTTGTCATTGTATTTATTATAGTTCGGCCGTGATATTTGTCACACGTCAGTAATTATTGTTTTTATATTACCAAGGTTTTATTATTTATGATTAAAATCGATAAAAACAGAGTACGGAAAAATCGAATTTTGAGCAAAATTGTTTGTTTTTTTATATGGTTGGATAGAGTACATCGAGTCTCATTGAAAAATATTGTTTTTTTTGTAGTGAAATTTAGGAAAACTAACTTAAAAAAATAAGAAAAGTCTATAAAAATTTATATACGCAAAAAACATCATCAACGTTGGTAACCTTAATGTTTATACAATATTTGTTTTGTACTCGTTCTATGATTAGGAAAGAAAATGTTATGGTTATTTTTTGCAAAATATTATTCTAGTGTTGAGAAAAAAATTTTTTTTTTCGATATGACAGCAAAAATATCGTACAGGTTCGTTTCAGCAATTTTAACCATGAGAACTTCAATTCTATATAAAACGATCATCATATGCGAGAATCAGCAGAAAAATTTGCATATCGAATAGTATACTCAACATTTTAAAGTAAGAATTCTTCAAATTTCGACTCTAAGGGAAACTATAGATCAGATTATTCGAAAATAACGATGAAGTATGTGAGAATTGCAATTTGACGAAAATTAATTTTCAATATTGAGTAAATTATTCGATGGAGACTTCTTTCAATACGAAATCGTATTTATTACATTTTACCATTATATCGGAAAAATTAATTTTTTCAACAATCAAAAATATATTTGCAAAAATTATGCATAATTTCTTTTCCTAATTATTTGAAAAGAAAAATGACAAATGTTGTTGTTGCTTAAATATCGAATAGTCATGACCTTCCTGTTCACATCAACTAATTTTACCTAAATAATATGAAATAAATAACTATGAATAATTGTTCTTTGTTTTTCGATTTGTCTCGCTTGATTGAATGTTTATCAAAACAGAAAAAAAAAAGAAAAGAAAACTAATCTTCCATTTCCTTTTGTTTATTATATGAAGAACGAAACAAAAAAAAACAAAAAAAGATACATAGCATAAAATAAAACAATGACTAATTATAACATGAAAACCATATTTAAAGATAAATATGACATAGGAATGTAAATATTGTACACATCACTGTTTTGAGATTAATTAAAGAGATCATCAAGTTCAGCAGCTGCTGTTTTTGAACTTGTTACATTTGTATTTTTAACTACAATCGAACTAGATGGTGGTGGTGGTGGTTGAAATAATTTCATACCACTACTTAGTGTTCCTGAATTATTTTGAGATGGAGATATTAATGAATTAATATTAGAATTCATTGAATTCAATGATATTGTTGTTGGACTAGTTTGTTGTCGAGAAGCAAGAAAATTAATATTGTTCATAAGACTCGATGTTAAATCAGTAGTATTCGATGATGGTGAAGAAAAATTCAATGTAGGCCGTTTTAGTTGTTGTTGTTGTTGCATTATAGATGGTGAATTATTAATAGTTGGACGTAGAAGAGATGGCATTGTTTGAGAAGTAGACATACTATAAGATGGTTGTGATGAATTTTGTTCGAATAGAGTATTTGTTAAATCTTTATAATATGCTGATGATGAATTCGATGTTGTTGTTGTTGCTGATATTGGAGTCATAGCCATAAGTGGAATATTTGATGATGATGATATTGGTGTTTTACGTTCAGGTATAAGTTCACCTTGAGATTTCATACGTTGTGTTTGATCATTCTCACGCATCATTCGTTCTTTTTCTTCTAATGTTAATGTCTAATAGAAAATAAATGTAAAAAATAAAATAAAACAAACACAAATAAGAAATTATTTATATTTACTTTTTTTCCTAGAGAATTTTCTGATATAGTTAATTGATTCGATGATATTTGTTGTGATTTTGAATTATCAAATGTTAAATTAGTATCAAAACTAGCTGCCATATTTTTATTTTGAGCTATTTCAGAATTAAAACCATGTCCAACCATAAATTGATCAATCTTTATAATAGACAACAACAAAAAAAAAACATCGTGTTAGAGCAATCTCTATGGGATTAAAATGTAAAACATGATTTCACTACTATTGTTAATCATAAGGAGAATATTCTATTTTGAGATACATTTCTTCATCATTCTTTTAATTAATTCTCTAGAAATGTAATAAGGAAGTAATTTAAGATATTACAATAAGACGTTATTGATCATACGATCATAGAGATTGTTTATCAATAACGTCTTTGACATTCACGTGGTTACATCACAGCGTGTAATATCTTCATGGTCATGTCTATCATGGTCTATCTCATGGTCATATCTGTCACGATTTCTCACTGCTGTCTGTTGTGAACTGTAAGGAAGCATCCAAATTGTTATCTCTATATTTCAACACTCCTTTTAGATCGTGTTTCACATTTAAAAAAAAAACAAACTTGATAATATAAATTTACCATCGATGATGATTTTTGATCAAAATGAATATCAGTTGTTGAAGGACCAATAGGCACAATTGGCGCACTGAAATAAAATATACATAAAAAAAAAGAAATATGATATTGAAAAAAAAAAAAAGAGTTTTACTTTGCAGCTTGTTGAGAAAGTTGTTCAAGTTTTTTACGTTGTTCGATTTCAACTGTTTGTAACATATCTTTAATTGTTGACATATAAGCATTGAACTATATATAATTCAAGAACATATTGAATGAATGATAAGAAATTTTTTTATATATTAATTTTATTTCCTATATATCTTAGTCAAGAAGCATTATAATTGAGTTTTATTTGTTGAGAAATAAAAGAATTTTCTCAGAAATCTTAATTTATTGAAAACATCAATTTTTAAGTCAATTGACTTTTTAACATCTTCATAAATTGTTTGGTAAGTTTCAAGTTCGATCAATCCGATGAACTTTAGTGCAAGAGTAAGAACCAGTATTATAAGATCGAAAATAAGATTGCCTGAGGGTAGGTATGGGATTGAAATCAAAAAAGTTTAGTCAATTGAATTTGTTTTTAGATCCTGTGAAATCATGGATCTGATGAGTTCTATATTTTACAATGTTTCTTTGCTGATACTTAGAAAAATAGAAAATTCATACAAAATTTTTGTACTATTCCTTATCAAAAAAAAATATATATATATATTTACTTGATTAAGATTAAGACTTGTTTCAATTGAAATTGGTACTAAAAATGGTATAACTCTTGTAGCTAGAATTTCACGTGGTAAACCACCAGATTTTGATGATGACATAGCAACTTTTATAATTCCTAATATAGCCATAAGAACAGCTGGTTCACGAGATGGTATAGATTGAAGTAATGGTATTACTTCATCAATAATAATCCATTTATCTAATGATTCAACTAATTTTCCAAGACATATTAAACTATTAACACGTACCTAAAATTAAGAAAAATAAAATAAAAATAAAAATAAAAATTTAATATATTTTCTTACACTTAATGTTATTGTCTCAAAACAAATCTTTTTTATACGTGGTAATATACAATATTTCATTGCTTGTAAATCAATTAAATGTGCAAATGATGGAATTATTGCTAAACAAAGTTCCTAGAAAATAAATTCATTTAATTATATTATTCTATTAAACAATGTAGAAGTCATGATACAAATCTTTTTAGAAATTATTTTTTTGTTTCTTTTAATAAAATAAATTTATATACTCTCAGCTACAATATATAATAGAAAATCAAAAAAAGACTTATGACAAAGGCTCTCCGAACTGATTATTTCCTTTGAAGTTGAAACAATGTACATCATGTAGACTCTAATGAGTTACAAATACTCTGAAAAATAATCCGTCTTATTGCTGGAATACTACATTTAATAAATCAATAATGTGTCCTCCTCTCTCAAAAACACCGAGAAAACTGTTTTTTGACTTGCAAATTAGCATAGAGATAGACAGTAAACAGAATAGTTTATTGTCAAAGTTCAAGATCGTTTCGTCTTTCCTATCTGAAGACATGGTGGGTATCTGTAAGAGATGCAAACGCCCATGCCTTTTACCAGTACGTAATCCAACTTGACTTAGGTATATATCGAAAATATTAGACTTTTATATGGTAGCCTTAGAAAAAATAGAAAGAATGTACTTTCTCAATTTTAGGTCTTACAATTGAATTTAGCAGATAGGTCGTGTTAATATGACTAATCCATCTCTATTATCAATAACCGAGTGTCATACACGCTTGCATCAGCATTGTATCCTCTTCTTCTACTGAAGAACAGCACGACCTCAGACAAAAATATGACATGAAATGGAAAGTGGAGAAGTATAGCATAGCAGATTAAAAATTGAAAGACAGAACGAAAAGAAACGTGTCAGCAGTCAAAATAGAAGAGGATACGATACTGATGGTAGCGTATATGACACTCTACACTGTCAAATGCAGTTATTGATAATGGACAATTGGACACGTTCACACGAGCTCTATATGCAAAGCTTCATTACACGGCTTAATATTGAGAAAATATATCTCTTCTATTTTTCAAAGGCTAGCATATATAAACTTAAGATTTTAGATATGTGCCTAAGCCAAGTCGGCCTATTCACTAGCAAAAAATGTTGATGCTCGCGTCTTTTACAGATATCCGCTATGTCTTCAGATAGAAAAGACAAAATTATCTTGAACTTTCACAATAAACTATTTTGTTTAAGACCTATCTCTATGCTAAATTTCAAGTCAAATTCCTGAAGTGGCCCACGACCGGCTTTGTTTTGTAAAAATGCAGTATCTCAATAGCAATCACCTAACAGCACGAATTCTTTCCAAGATATTCATGACTCATTAAGATCGTTTGTGTGAAATTTCGACACTTTCGTTCAATTTCCTGTTACAAAAAAAAAAATTTATCAGAAACCAACAGAAGATGATTGTCTTATCTACAAGGTAATCAATTTAAAATCTAACTCGATCTCTTTTCTTTCGAAAAAAAGAGACACTAATACTACTATATATTTTCCTATAACTTCTTCAACTTTTCCTATGATAAATATATAAATCAATACAACAATAAATAATTCTGTATTTAACATACTTGAACTTGTGATGATTCAGCATCTAATGCATTATAAACAACAGGTAAAATATGTTGTTTTATATCTTCTGGTGGTGTTTTTGTTAGCATTAAATTCATATTACGCATTAATATAAGAAGTGTCTAGAAATATATATATATATTAGATAGAAAAAAAGAACGAACTATATTAAAATGTTATACCTGCATAAAACAACCTGATGTACCACTTCCCTTAAGAAAGAAATATTTTGCATGAATTAAATTTAAAAAAATTTTTTTTTTATTACCTGAGGTGGTTTTTGAATTTTAAAAACTTGTTTAAGTTTAGGAAAAATATATTTTTGATATTCTTCATTACTTGCTTTTTCCTTGAAATAAATAAACAAGAAAAAAAAAAAAAAGAAGAATTTAAAGAATTATCAAATTAATATTTAACATACAGCAATAAGAAACATATTTGGAAGAACAAATGGTACCATTTCAGGATTTATAAATTCCATTTCAAGTGCTGAAGCAATACGTTGTAAATTAACACGCTTGAGAAGAAAAAAAATTAAATCACAAAAAAGTATTACATCAATTCTTTTCAATTTTACCATTGGTAATTTATCAATAACTTGTGGTAGACTTTTATAAAACATTGAACGTTGAAGATTATCAACTTGAAATAATGAATCAAGATATTCTAAAGTTTTTGTTCCTACATCTTCAAAAAAAGGTATCTAAACAAACAAAATAACAAATGAAAATTTTTAAAAAATATATATAAATTTTTTACTTTTGTAAATTGTCCAGCATCAGGTCTTAATTCTGGTTTTAAACTCAATAACATTTTAACATGATCACGAACTTCTAATGGTAAAATAGATAATTTTGTTGTATTAAGTGATTTAAGATCATCACACATTTTAATAAATAATGTATAATTATCATGACATTCATGTAATGTTTTACCATGATTATATAATGCATATATAAGCATACCTAATGAAAACATATCAGATTGTGTATCAAAACATTTCCGTGTATGATATTCTGGTGCCATATAATCAAGACGTGGATTTATTATTGATGGAATATTTCCATCATATTCACGAAATGGATAAGTTGCCTTAACAAAAAAAAAATTTTTTTTTGTATATATATATATATAAGAAAAATCAAGTTTTCTTTTTTTTTACTCCATCAACTGAACCTTGAATACATAATTCAAATCCAGATAATTTCCATGCACCATTAGAATTAATTATTATAGATTCTGGACAAAGATTTCGATGAAATAATTTAACTTCATTATGTAAAAATGCTAAACCATCACAAAGCTATTGAAAGAAAATGAAACAAAAAAAACAAATTTATTTTTTTTTTGTTTTCGAAAAGAACAAACTTGAATAATTCCATAACGAATTTCAACATCATAAAGTTTATAATCTTCAAATTCTTTTGGTATTGGTTGAGTTACATTATCATAAAATCCAAGACAATTAGCAAGACTACCAAAACATGATTCAGTTGCAAATGCAAGACTATCTCTATAATATCAAAAATTTTATTTTAAACATCTTAAAAAGAACAAAAAAAAATTTTTTTTAATTCAAAACCTTGATTCTTCAAGTGGATGTTGAAGACTTAAAATACGTGGATGTTTTATTTTTGCTAATTGTTGTACACCTAGAAGAAAAAAATAAATAAATAAAAGGAATTGCTAATGAAATATAACACCTTTTTTCATTGCATCAATAATTAATTCACGATCTTTTTTCGCATATTTATCTAATAAACGTTTTTCCAAAACGAATACAGCAGCTTCCTAAAAAACATATTTCAATATAGATTTTGAATTACTTTCTATTTAAAATGAAATATTAAAGTTTACAATAGAAAGAATGAATATTGATTGAAAATACTTTTTTTTTTTTCTTTATTTTCTATTCAAGATAATCGAAGGTTTTATTAAATATAAATTTCCATGGATCATATGGGAACTTATACACAGAAGAATTAAGAGAAATATAATGATTGGAACTTGCTACAAGATATTTCCTAAAATATTCTCTATAGAAATTTGTGTGTCTCTAAACATTAGAATTAAAAGTCAAGCGCTTCCTTAGTAATGTCTTATTAATCATCATTGTTTTCTAGAAAATGTTTCGGAAATTTAGTAATCAATTTTCAAAGCTATCTCAAGTCTTTATGCTTTAGAGATGAAATCGATTAGAGTCCCAAGAGAAATAAATTCTAATGATTCAGAAAATAGGCACGTATCTGATTAACAGGATTCTCGATAGATACTCTTTAGAAAATGAAAAGAACTAAAAATCTGACAAATAGTTTTTTGATAACAGCTCGAAACTTTCGTCGACGCGACGTTAAAGGTGCCGAAGGAAGAGACTAGTTCATCCCACATGGAGACCTATACAGATTGGTAGTATCTTGTATGAATGGACTATTCTCGATTAATGACTTTAAATTAAAAATAAAATTATGATCGAAGATACAGTTGGTTAATTGTGTTAGAATAAAACAATTGCTCCATACCCGTTTTCTAAGATATATGAAAGTAAGACAAATAGAGGTGTAAGCCGATCAACTGAGCCACTACCAATGCTTCAATAATCCAGTCACACTGCCATCGTTCTCGTAAATAGTTGCTGAAATTTTCAGTCACATCAGCCGAAATATAAAAATGGATGTTCTTCTCTAGGTTCTTATCATTTTCTGCTTCATTTATTTCAAAATTTCACAGAAATAAGAAAGTTTTTTACAACAGCATCAAAAACTCTCAGCTATCGCAGCCTATTAATGCATTGGCTTATATTTTTAAAGGTAAAATAAATTCTGGAACACGAATATTTATTATCATTCTCGTGGGAAATGTAACGATACTATCGATTGATGATCAATAAGTTATTGGTACTAGTTTCATCTTCAATTGACGATCAAAATTCTTTTAATATTTTCCTCGAGATACGATGTAGTTAAACTATGTTTTTTGAAACTATTATATAATCTCACAAAATAGAATATCAGAATAAGAGAAATTTGCTTTTTTTTCGAACCTGTTTTGTTGAATGTTTAATAGCTCCGTAAATACGCCAGAGAAGACCAGGCCCAGCAGAACCAAGTGGTCGAATTAACTATAAATAAAAATGAATTATTATTATTATTTTTTTTTTTGTTCTATCTTAAATATTTCATTCTATACTTCATATTCACGTGTAACTAAATTTCCTGGTAAAACATCTTTAAGCATTTTTTGTCCACCACATGCTGTATCAACAACAGATTTAACAACAACATTTTTAACTTGATCACCATAAACTTTTAATTTTTCAAGATATTCCATGTAGATCTAAGAATCAATCAACAGCAATAAATGCAAAAAAAAAATGAAGTGAGAACAGAACAATTTACTCTAATTCTGTGATTGGATGAAACAAGAGCGTCATCTATTTCTTTTCAAGTGTTTTTCTCTTTATGAAAAGAATTTTATGATTATTGGATTTTACAAATCAATCTATTTTAATATTATTATTATTAAAAAGGAAATAAATTTATAAATCTATATTAAAATAGATATTGATTGGTTTATTAAAATTCTATACTCCATTTTCATCTCGTCATCGTTTATTTATTTGCTTATTTATATATATATATATCTATATCTATAATCATTTTCCGTTAGTAGTCAATCAATAGTGACTAAATGGTAGAGCAAAAAAAGAAAATATGATGACTCTACTAATGTCTGTTTTTTTTTTCGTTTAATTAGAAAAATATTTTCGTCTGAGATAATTATATGTTTTTTTTTCCTTGTTCTTATTTGATTAAATTTGTGTGTTAAACTGTAATCCTTTTTCAGCAATATTATAAATAATTATTTGATTATTCAATTAAATCTATATAATTCATTTTTGTTTTTTTTTTACTAGTCATGATTGATTTGTTATATTGAAAACAAAAATAAGAAACAATAAATAATCATGATGAACGAACATAGTTCGCCACAGCCGAATAATCCAACATCAACTAATATGCAGTATGGTTATCCAACAAGTAAGAATTGTTTCAAGTTAACATTTGATATACGAAAGAGACAAAAAAAAAAAAAAGAATTTCTAAAATATTAAATTTATATTTATAGGTCGTTTCGATTTTATGAATATTTCACCAATGCAAAATCCAAGTGATCTCTATCCATATTATCCTCCAAGTCTCTATCAACCATTTGGTACATTTGATGAACATAATCAATGGACATCAACTGATACATCAGCTGGTATTCCACCACCACCTGCACAATTACCATATCATCCTCAAATGTATACAACATCTGGACTTGATATTCCACGTAGTCCATTTGATTATCCACCAACAGCACATGGATATCCTCATTATCATCCTGCTTTTACACCATCAGCATTTCCAGGTGCACCATCAACAGGTACATCTGGTTTTGATATGTCATGGAATTCTCCTAATTTATCAATGCAAGTTGGTATTCAACAACAAATTGGTCCGATATCAAATAAAAAACCATCGGTTTATGATGAATATCCATCAACTAGTGGTGGTGTTGGTGATATGCTTGCTCAACATATTAATTCAATTGATCTTAGTAATAATAATAATAATATACAAAATTATGACATTGGTAAACATAATCATACACAAAATAATGTTAGTGTATTATCATTGAAAGAACAGCAAAATTATCAATCAAATAGTAGTAATCATTCATTTGTACGTCCATCTCAAACATCTTCATCATCTGGTCCAAAATCTTATGCGTCCGTTGTTTCATCTGATATAATAAATTCAACTAGTAATAAACCGATTTCATCTATTTCGAATTTAAATGAACGTACATCAAATATTTCTAATGACATTTTAAATACACGTTCGAATACTCAACAATTACGTAATAGTACAACAGGATATAATCCTCATAATCAACAACAACAACAACAATTATCTGGCAATGGAGATTTTCTTAATTGGACAAATAATAATTCTGATCGTTCATCTCATAATCATAATACTAAACGACAAAATTATTCATCATCTCGTACAACAAATAGTAATCAAGAAAGTTTTGAAACACCTAAACATAATCATCAATATAATCCAAAAGATTTTAATTTAAATCCAAAAGGCGCTCGATTTTTTGTTATTAAATCTGTAAGTAATAAAAATAAAAACCTATTAGCATGTATAATTACTATTGTTAATCACAGAAAAATCGCTTTATTCTATCTATTTTCCGATATACATATCTTTACTATCCTTTTAATTAATTCTTCAGAAATCCAATAAGGAAGTACTGCATATATCAGAGGGAGAGGACAGTAGAGCACGTCGAAGCTGTCCCATACTCGGTCAGGTCTGTATCTGAAAATTTTGAACCCCGTGCACTCTAGTCGTATGAGAAATATATAGAGTGCACTAGTAATACAAAAAAGTGTCTCGTATCTTCGAGCGGCTATCAAATTTCGTTAAGAATATCAAAAATGTTTAATAGACCGGATGTGAGTCCAAAAATTTAGAACTCGACAAGCTCTAGAGGACAGTATGTCCAAGTTTCTATCGCTATACTTCAATACTCCTTCCAGATCATGTTTTACAAAATAAATTCTCTTCTTTTTTTATTATTTTAGTATTCTGAAGATGATGTACATCGTTCAATAAAATATAATATTTGGTGTTCAACTGAACATGGAAATAAACGTTTAGATAATGCTTTTCGTGAACGTGAAGGCAAAGGTCCAATTTATTTATTTTATTCTGTTAATGCATCTGGACATTTTTGTGGTATGGCTGAAATGATGTCACCTGTTGATTATGAACATCAAACAGATGTTTGGCAAATGTCAAATAAATGGCAAGGTAAATTTGAAGTTAAATGGATTTATGTTAAAGATGTACCAAATCAACAATTTCGCAATATACGTTTGGAAAATAATGAAAATAAACCGGTGACTAATTCTCGAGATACACAAGAAATACCATATGAAAAAGGTAAATTAATGTTAAAAACATTACATATGTATCGTCATAAAACATCAATATTTGATGATTTTCAATATTATGAATCAAAACAAGCAGAAGAAACAACAACAAAACAATTTTCAAATGATGATTTTAATCATAATACACGACAATTATCATCTAATAGAATATCAACAATAAATCAATTAGAGCAGCAACAAAATGAACATAATCGTGAAAAATAATAAAATAAAATAATAAATATATATACACACTAAAAGTTTCTTTTTTTTTTAAAAAAACGTATATATTAATTTATATTCTTTAGATTTCTATAAAAGAAATCCTTTTGTTTATTTATATATATATATATACATATATACATATACTTGCACATTTTCATAGACATTGATCACTCTCAGTTTCGCGCATGCGTGTATTATTGATATGAGGTTATTTATTTCTTTTTAATATATTGTGCTACCATCATCATACCACAATAGCAAACTGTTGCTGTTGTTGTTATTTTTCTTTTGTTGTTGTTGTTGTTTATTTCCTCAACATCATAAAATTCTATTCATTCTCATACATAGATTCATAGTTTTCATTATTATTACTGTTTAGATACCTTAACATCATATTTCTTCATGCTTAATGTGTTCTTTATTTTTATCTTTAAAACATTTCATCAATATACTTTATTTACGTGTGTGATCATTATATTCTGTTCTTCTTCTTTTTTTTGTTTTTGTTTCTATGTACTGTCACCGTTTGATTGCACACACATTACACTTTTTTTTTTTACGTTGGAGTCTCTTAAATGTGTGTCGTTGTCGTTTGTTGTTGCCTTGTTTTTATTTGCAAGAGATAAAAATGAAAGAAAAGAAAAAAAAAAACATAGAAAATTCAAAATATATGATGGAACATAAACAAAAAAAACAAACAAATTGAAAATAGTAGAATTTCATTGCATTTCCACTCTACATGATAATTAAAGATTAGCAGAAATAAAAAAGAGATTTTCTTTTCAAAAATTTATACAGATAAATTTGACCATAAGAATATATAGCATTGAATAATTAACCAAGCAGCACCTTTCTAAATTTACTACTCATTTCTTCTGAATTTGTTGTTGTCATTTGACTTGTTGATGTTGGTGTACATGCTGGTGAACAAAGAAATTGAAGTAATGGTAAGTAAAACTTACCACAAAAATCAACAAATTTAATATTTTTATGACAACTTTCAAAATAAACACCTAAAATTAAAAAAGAAAAAGAAAAGAAATTTATAAAGAATTTTATTTTACATTAAGAAATGAAAAAAAAAAAAAATATATTACAAACCTCTGCATTTCGGATTTAAACATGATTTAGCTGAATTTAAATATTCAATAAGAGATTTTGGTATTGATTTATCATCATAATTTATTTTACGAAGTTTTATTGTTCTACCAGCTAATTCTTTTAATGATGGAACATCATATGTTAAATCACGAACAAAACGTACAACAAGTGGATTATTTCTTAAACTTAATTCTTGTAAATCAAGACGTATTATATCAGGTGGTAAAGCACAAAATTGATTATTATGTAATGAAAGTGATTTTAGACGAGTTAAGCCTTAAAAAAAGAAAAAGAAAAATTTTTTGTTTTTTCCTTAAAACAAAATCAATATTTTTTATCATACGAGAAATTGAACGTGGTAGTGTTCTTAAACGATTGTCACATAAATTCAAAACAACTAATGAATGCATACATCCAATTGAATCAGGTATATTTCCAATTCGATTTCCACCTAAATAAAGTACTTCAACTCTAAAGAAGAAAAAAAACAAACTTGAAAACATGTAAAATTTGTTTTTCTGTTTTCTTTACTTAGTCAATGTTTGAAATAAATCAGGTAAACTGTATATTTGATTTGAGCCCAAATAAATTTCTTTTAAATTAACCATTTGAAATAATTGATAAGGAAATTGTTTAAAACGATTTCCACCTAAATTAATAACTTCTAATTGTTTTAATAGTTGCATTCCCTTTGGAAATGATAAATCATTAAGAGAATTATTTTTTAAATATAAATTTTTTAAATTTTTTAAAGATCCAATTTCATGTGGTAATTCAATTAATTGATTATTTGATAATTCAAGTGTAATTAATGATTGAAAATTTCCAATTTCATTCGGTATAGTTAAAAGTTTATTAGAATTTAATTGAAAATTTTTTATACGATTTAGATTTTCAATCGTTGATGATAATTGATTAAAATCAATTTCAGTTAAATTTTGATGGGCATAGTCCAATGTATCACTATTAAAAAAAAAGCACACAATGTTAAAAATTTGATTATTCTTTTTTTTTTTGGTGAATAAAAAATAAATACCTGGAATCATCGAAATCATCATCAAGATCGAAATCATCTTCGAAATCATCTTCGATAGGCATTGCTGTCGCCATTTTTGTTGTTTTATGTCTGCAATAAGGAATAGATTATTTAATCTAGCCACATGTGACAGAAAAAAGGAAAAAATATTATTGGTCGAACATTTATAACGACACATAATAAAAGCGCAAGGACAAAGATGCAAAATAACGAAAACAACTATGCGTATTGATATGACTCCGTTTTATATGAAATAAGTATGATGACGATGGTATTTTTTTTTCTCATTAGATGATAAAGAACGGGTAAAAAAATGGGAATGTTACACTTAAAAACAAATATAGATGCATTTTTTTATCGTTTGAAATAAAGATAGTACTAAACAAATGCCGAGTCATATGCCATTGCCATAGAGGATATATCTCTTATCCGATCCTTTTTCTTTCTATTGACGATCATGTGAGATCATTTTACCTGAGGTAAAACAAAAATTAATCAACCCCGATCACGCATTCGACAAATGGGAACAGAACATGTTAACGATAAGTTCTTTGCATAACATATTCTCTAGACTCGTTGAAAGAAGAAAAGAAAAAAAGCCCGCTTTATACTAATATTGTCGAGTGTAAATCTAATATAGAAGAAAATGTCAGGTCAAACAAGAGAATTGTTTTCAAGGAAAGAAAAAGATATGGATATAGAAAATAAAGCTACAAGATGTACTATGAACCCGAATGAAGAGTATTAAAGTACAATCGCAATAAGAAATTTTGAATATTATTATATTTTTGATTGGCTATCATTTAAATGATTTCGTAAGTGAAAGAATTTTATAAAATTAGTAAATTACTTAAATGTTTACTTATTAATTATATAGATATGTTAATAAATAAAAATAAAAAAATTATTTTAAGTGTGTATAGTAAAAGTAAGGTTGAATATAGAAATTGAAATGATCGAATATAAATAGAAAAATAAATTCGTTCAATTTAAAAAAAAAAATATTTTTTGTTTTTGATAATGAACGACTAAAATCAAATTATTATTTTTATAAAAGTATATAGCTTTGCGGTTTAAACATAAACAATGTCTTCTCAGTGGCGAATCTAGGATTTTTATGATAGGGGTCGATCATGATCATAAAACGTATTTTGAAGTTCATTACACAGGTAGTATCAGTTCGTTTTTAAATCTTTTCTGTTAGCAAAAAATCGAGAAAAATCTTTAAGAAGAGAAACGAGCGCGTGACTCTAAATCTGCCACTTAATGTATTAGAGACGATTAATATAAAAGAATTTATTGACAATAGTATTAAATATTGTCAATAATATAATTAATTGAATATAATCCTTCTTCGATTAACACAAAAATATTTTCTACAAAATCAATAACAAATGTAATTTGCATTCTTAATAATTCTTCACAAAAAAAACAAAAATATTACATATCATCTCATAATTTACAATCAATTATACAAACCGATTTAAATAATTATAAAATAGAAAATCAATAGAGGATATAGCCGGATAAATTTTACTTTGAATAAAATAGAAAGATAGAACACAAAATTCTGAACATTTCTGTTCATTTATTTTGTTTTTTGTTGAGCGCAAAAACAAAACTTTGAGGACAAAGTGTCCTTAGAGTCTATCACTTCCAGATGTTATAGTTAATTGTTATGTTACCTGTGTTTTTTTTTTCTATTCTAAACCCAATATGAAAAATAATAGCGTAGATCGACGTGATTTTATACCTCACAAAATGATAGTAATCATTTTTTTTAATTTCTCTCGTAGATCATATAAGGTCGAATAGGTACAATATCGCGCCTATGTGACCCTGTATAATCTAAGAGAGAAGATAAAAATAAACATGATCACTATACCATTGTGTAGAGCATGAAAAATACATCGATGTACGCTATCACTTTTCATATTGGGTTTAGAAAAGAAAAAAAAAACACAGGTAACGTAACAATCAACTAAAACACCTAAAAGTGATAGACACCTACGACTACTTGGTTCTCAAAATTTCTTTTTTTTTGCATTCAACAAAAAATAAAATAAATAGATAGACATATGCAGAATTTTATGCCTTATCTTTCTATTTTATTAAACGTGAAATCTAAAGGAATGACAGATTTACGACCTTATTCGTGGGTGTCTTATTAATTCAAAAAATGATTTGATTTTTACTATATGAAAATAGTTCAAATTGAAAAATGTTAAAATGCAAATTGTTCATCAATTTCTTTTCAGAATTACATATGCAAACACATTGTCGGTATAGTTAGTTGTTTGAAATATTTGTAAACCAATACCAGCAACAAAGGATAATTTATTTTTACTAAGAATTATATACTATATAATAAATCGACCATTTTACAATTAATTACTAACTAAATATTTTATTCCTCTTTTTGGATTTTCATTAATTAAATACTTCTAATTATTACAACAAAAGATCTATTTGTCGTAGTATATTTTCTTTTATTTTTTTTTCAGATATTAAATCGTACTCGAATCAAATTATGATTAAACAATTCGTGATACAATCATAGAGTAAATTTTATTCAATACATATTGATGATATAATAGCAAACACTAGAGAGGTTTCTATGTCATCAAAATCGACAATTTATTCGGCCGATTAATCGCGATTATTCAAATAATATGTCCGATGAGTCAATCTAACCGTAGGATTTGGATCTACAATTATGATTACATCTCGACGTGTATAGCACCGTCCTACTCATACATGTTTCTCGTGAATGAGAAACGAGATAATTTCTTTCTTTTCATCTGCAGTAAATAATCCAAAAAAAAAGAAGCTTTTTTTTCCAAATAAAATAATGCTTACTGTTTATTGAGATGATCTAAACAGAAGAAAAAAAAATATTTTTATATAATACTATCTACTCTTGAAAATTATTGGAAAATCGCCAAAAATTATGCGATTTTGATGATATGGATTTATTCGAATGAATAGATGTACATGGATATTTAATGTTCTTATTATGCAGGATGGTCCAAAAAGGAGGCTGACTCCTTAGAAAATGTAATTCCTGAGTTCATAACATACATTTTTTTTTTGAATAAATTCCTTTTGAAATAGATACAGGTGAAGGAAAAAGCTTCTAAATAAAAGTGTCTTTTGAAAGAAAACATTCTACCGTTAGTTAGAAGAAATAAGAAATCATTTACTCTATTTTTTGATTTGTTTGTACAAATTTATTAATTCGACAATGAAACAATATGATAATCTAAAATTTTGCAGGCTATATTTCTAGACATAGGTAAGTTAAGTAGACAAATTATTGAGAATTATTATCATTTTGCTAAGATTATTAAATTTTAATTATAATCAATTGTAAAGTGTTTCAATGAGTATAATAATATGTATAAAATATTGATCAATTTTGGTTACATAATCCAAAACAAGGTACGGCATAATAGAGGAGCATGAAACATCAATTAGAATTTTTTTTGAATCACTATGTCATATTTGATTATTTATTTCGAAAATTTAGTTTCGCCATGTAAAAATAACACTACATGATATGAAGAATAAACTATTCGATTCATCAGGAAGAAGAGAAATAATTTCACATTCTTTTTCTATGACAGACGTGCAGTTCTGCCAAAAAAAAAACAAACTAGTTTAAAAAACCCTGATATTTTTTCAATAGCTAATAAACTTAGCTATACTGTAAATTAGTGTTTTCGAGTATTTCTGATGTCACAAAATATTTTCGAACAGAGCTCGGATGAAAGTATTTGTACTTCTACTCAAATACAAAAAAAAACATAACTTTGCACCTTTTATTTGATGTATAAATAAAATAAATTTCGTCAATAAGGTTGACTAGGTCTGGTAGGTTTTTAAAGACCATCATCATACCTTCTGCTGAATAGAACATGATAATAAAAATATTTACTCTGATAACTAAGTAAAACGAGTATCATTATATTCAAACGTTCATCATAATTTTTGAAGAAATTCGAACAATGAAGACAGATAGTTTTTACAAGAGACATACAGTAAAGCTATCAGCGTATTAGAGTGAATTGAAGAAACTTATTTTATCTATACATCAAACAAAAAGCGCAGAGTCCTATTTTTCCAAGTCCTACTTCTATTTCCTAACTCTAGAGAATTCTCAAACCGTTATAATCTATGGCGCAAAATATTTACTCATTTTGAACCTACTTGAAGTCGGAATTGTTTTGCTTTTTCCGAATATGTGACTAGAATTTCTTTTTAGAGTAAGATTATCATTAGATTATTTCAAAAGATCCAAAATGTTGCTTGTACAAGATACTGTTTTAGTCAATTTTGTATTTTGATTGAAATTAGTTTTTAATGACTCAGTTTTGTTTGCTGTACAAAGCTTGCTATTTACTTTTGGATGCCAAATTTAAAAGTTTTGCATTTTTAAAAGCGATTTTTTTTTAATCAAACCTGATTTTCATAGAAACTAGTTATTTAGTGGAAACGTGTAGATAAAATTTTGATTATTATACAGTATTCAGTACTCAACAAGAATGTTGATTTTGAAGATGTTCCAAAACATAAATTAAAGATTGTCGTCGAAGTTCGGTGATATTCTCAGATGATATTTGTAGTATTAGCAACCTTTCATTATTATGATTAATGATATTTACTGTACTTAGTAATGACAATGATGTTTTATCTAAAGAGCTAATTTCAGTAAGTGATTCAATAAGTTCCTAAGTTAAATTAGAGACTAAGAAAACTTAGATTGTAATTTGTAATGCGCACATCACAGTTGATTAGATGCTATATATATATGTAGGTATCTATATGATATATATTCTGAAAGAATGAACTGGAGGATTGATAGCTTAGAGTTATATCAGCGAAACAAAGCTCACGAACATAGATGTTCGAAAGATATTCGACGATCTTCCTTTTCGATAATGTTCATTTCAGCGATCTGAGTTTCCGACGATGAGTATACAATCATGAAAAGATACTAAGAATTTTTCACAATTCAAATATGATGTAGAATTTTTCTCGTTTACTTATCTCAGCTTCTTGTATGCACTGATATAAATGTTTAACAAATTCTTGTAGTCTACATTGCTATTAGTTTTATTCAGAACTAAAGAAAATTTCCATTAATTAGAATAATTATTAACAAAAAAAAACAAAAGCATATATTCAAACAAATGATTCTTTAAAATTTGAATCTCGATTTAAAGCATCAAGTACATCTTGTACACTAGGATAATAATATAATCTATTTTTAGAATTTTTATTATTTGAAAATTGATCTGTTGTTATTGAACGAGGTAATGCATATGATTGAATTGTTGAATCAATATTTGATGGATTAATATTCATTGTTGAATTTGTTTTTGTTTGTAAAAAGTATTGTTGTTGTTGTTGTTGTGAATGTTCCATTAGTGTATTTAATTGATAGTTTGAAATAGGTACAGGTCGTTGAATTAAATGTGAATGATTTATTTTTGATGTTGTTATATTTGTTGAAAAATCACGATCGATTGGTTCAAAATAATAATTTTTATTATGCAAAATAGTACTTGTCTTTTCATATAATATTCGATTGTTAGTATTCATAGGTTGCCAAATATCATTATTATCTTCATGATAGGATGCATTTGTTGCTATAAAAGAAAAGAACAAAAAAAAAAAGCATATGGAATATGCTAACAATCTTCGAGTCTATTATCATGAATATTGTTGATTTTTTTTTTGCTTCTCATTTGTTAAATCTCTAGAGAGAGACGTAACATGACAAAAGAAAATATAAAAAATTAAATCGCATATGCCGATAGCAATTGATGTATCGCAAGGACTTTTTGTTTTTTTTTTTCTTTTTGTCTTCCAAACATTGTTTAATCACATACAAAGTAACAAGAGCAGAAATAAAAAAAAAAGAGCGTACCGGGATCAGTCAAAATAGTTTCTCTTGAATTCATCATTGATAATGATAGTTGACAAGATGAACTAAACTTGTATAATCGTGAAAAACTTGTGGAACGAAGTGTTATTTGTGTAGAATAATTTCGAATAGGAATTGAGTTCAAGTTGCTTGACACATCGTTATTACAGAACTAGAAGAAAGAAGAAGGTTCTTACAATTCTTTAGAAGATATTAAGAGTGTCTTCTATGAATTCATTCATTCTTTTTCTTTCGTGTCCCTGAACAACGGATTCTATATAACTGACATTCTATGGTTTCATGTCCTTCGTCATAAATGCAAGTTTTGCTTTTGTTGTATCAAAAACAGTCAATTATCTTCAGTATGTGAACATAGTTGCATGTGCGAAGAGAATAATATAGACACTATGAATGCTACTATTCACTCAATGAAACAATCAAGAGAACATCAACTATAGTTTTTGCCGAAGAAGAAAAAAAGAAAGACAAGCTGTTGATGAAAGTTCGCTTCTTTTCTTCTTCTTCTTTTTTTTTTTCTTCTTTTTTGTGCTTACATATAAATCATTATTATTAATTTTCTTGCTTTCAAAGTGTTCATACACACACTATAAATTCATACATGTAAAAGTGAACAAATCGATTAAAGCACGAATGATTTCATGTTTGTTATTTCATTATTTATCAAGGAGAGAAGAAAAAAAATCATTTCCGTTTCTTACATTTCGATTATTGGATATTATTTGATAGATAGAATTTAGAATATTTTGTATTTTTATAATTATTTTATGTTGATAAATTTGTTTATTAATTGATATTCGATCATAATGATAACATTTCCATAAAGCCATAAGAATAAGTATAAACCAAATAATAAGAAATAAAATAAAATAATACCAAGAAAATTCTAATAAAAAATATTTATAGAAAAATTTTTTCGAAAATAAATTTTCTTTTTGTTTAAAATTTAAAGAATGTGTTAAATTAATTGTTAATGTATAAAATTGTTTATGTGATATAATTAAACCATGATCATGCAACATAATATTTAATATATATATTCCATCGGGTATTTTTATATAACGTCGTGTTATTAATGTTGATGAATTTATAATATAAAAATAATATATTGATAAACAATTAAGACATTCAATTGAAACAAATCCATTAAGTCCATTATCAAGATCAATAGGTTGAAATTTATATAGAATTGTTTCATCATTATTTATTTGTTCAATTGATAAAATTGTTGAATTTGAAAGAAATGGTTCATATGGTATATGATCATTCTCATCAAGTATATGAATAATTATATATGTTGGAAATGTATAAGATTTTAATATTCTATCATATATAAATATATAAAAAGTATAATTTGATTGATATTCACGATCAAATATAACTAATGTATGAATATAACCTTGAGAATCAATAGAAAATAAACCAGATAAAGATTTATTTCGATATGAATCAAGAAATAGAAAATCAATCATTGAATAATTAGTTCTACAAAAAAAAAAAAATAAAATAATAAAATTTCAAAATTCTAAATAATAATTTCGAAAAATTTCAAAACCTCACAAATGAAAAATATCGCTTCCGAGTTGAAGCAAAATATCACATGTAAGATGTTAAAAAAAAATTTCGAAATTTTTTTTTTTATTTAAAATAAACGTAACAGGATTTCCTTCTAAAGTAGAAATGTTTTATGACCCGTAGAAGATGAAAATGTATCTTGTCTTGTTCCATCCTCTCAAGAAAGTAAACGGAAATGTCTATTTAGACTTTGATAGGAATATGAAGTGACTAGTTGATTCTTTTCTTAAATGTTAAATTAAGAGAATCTAAAAATAGTAATTGCAAAAGCATAACTGTCACAACAATTTCTATTTTTTGACTGATATTGACCTTTATCTTCTAAAAAATATTATTAAAAGAAACAATTACTGTCAAGATGAGTAGCTTTATTGACAAAAATATTGAAGAATGTTCCTATAATTAGAAGGTAAAGACGAAATATACGAATCTCTTATCTTTTGTGAAATACTTCGAAAGTTTTATCTGCATTTATGAAGTACGAGAAAGTTTGATGATTTTATAAAAGTGAATCATCAAAGGAAGAACAAACTGATTTCTATGTTATTAATTATTATAACGCATTACAGATACGGATAATGACTGGAAGTGGTTAACAAATTATCGGAAACCATTGTAAATACACAGAAAATCTCCAATAATATGATTAAAAGTAAACCCATAATTTCTAATGATTTTATTGATTTTCTATATTTTCCCATAATCCTAGAAAATGCTCTTGATTCCTAATACTCTCTGTTGATTTTCCTTCATTTCTATGCATTTCCAATAATTACTATTGATTTGTAGTAAGCAGGTAAAAAAAACGAATTTCCAGTAATAGAAATCAGTTTTTTTCCCTTGTGAGTGACGAAAAGATAACCAAACTTTAGTTTTAGTGAAAGAAAACTTTGTTTTTCTACTGCAATCGTACTTACCTTGGGATACTCTCGTAGCAATACTTATTTTTCTTGAATACTAAAAATGTAAGGATAACTTTCCTATATTAGAAGTAATACATAATTGATTTGAATTCACTTTTCATATGTATACTATTATAATAGATTTAAATATTTTATAGCGAGGTTGATTATTCGACAATATGAAATATTATTTAGTATGGTCATTATTAGAAGAGAAAATAAACTGTAAATCATAAAGTAAAATGATTTTATTATTCTTGTAATTACTGTGAAGAATCTTAGGTATAGTATTTATTCAATATTTACTTCAAACGCATGTTTTCTCATTAGAAATATCAAATCAGTAAGATGATTGTCATTCATTGATTTTCGAATATAATCCTTCATATATCTTCATGTCACAAAATAATTCTCCTACGAATAACTTGTGATATTAGCATTGTTTTGAGAGCTATTATTAGGTTTATAACCTTGTTTGTCTGATCACAAAACTTTCCAGAATAGGCTGAACTCAACCCTGGTGTAGTTGCTAATCATAGATTTTATTATATTAAACATATGTGCAAAGATCTAGCAACAAGTTTTAGATCACTCAATATACACTGAGAGAAAATTAGAAGTTCCAGCATCATTCATCAGTAAAATTTCTTTTCCTGAAAGGCTGTACGCTTTATCTAATATTTATAACAGTTTCTAATGTGCAATACTCCATTATTATAAATTTTAGAACCTCAATGATTGAACACAATCGAATTGCAGCTTAGCAAATAGCAGATACTACTGACATTTCAAATGTACAATGTATGACATTTAGCATGATAAATTACATATGATTAAAGTGTGTTCTATATCTGTCTTCGATGTCGTCCTATATTTTTTGAAAAAATAAAGATTCTTTTGAAAAGATTCAAATATCATATAAAACGTACATTGTGTGTTGATGTAAATATCATTACTGGGGGTCCACAGCACAATAGGGAAATAGTAATGACTCTACATATATGTACTGCTTCGTTTTTCATTTTCATTGAAATAATGAATATTGAACTTGATTGCATTTCATACTACTGAGAAAATAAGAGCTCAAGGTAAAAAAGGTTTCGTCACTTGACTATATACTCGGCTTCCTCCAGGTTAGATGCATAAGAGACATTTAAGTAACGTCTCTCTTCCACATGATACATTGTGACAGATATCTTATAATATGACCATTCTTCTCGCAGAAATCATGACGAACATACCCACAATACTAGTCTAAGGCATCATTAGTTTGAAGCACAACTGACTTTAAGATAGATGCTCTTTGCCTTTGTTTCATACTGATTAAAATGTATTATGGTTAATATTTTTTTTTCATCGGCAAGTATTAACAGTAGGTAGTGATTCATGAATCGAAACATATGCTGATGGATTTTCCTTTTCTTATAATGACAGGAGATCCATAGTGTTTCAAATTTTACTCCTGCTGAGATTACTCTAACAGCTTTTTATACTTTAACCTGTGTCAAATACTATAATAGTACTGAGAAGACATAGTTTATACTGTAAAAACAAAAAAATACGATTGTTTTTTTCAAGTCTTTATTCAGTTTGATTTTGTTTATTATAATCTGAATATGAATGTGTGAAACAAATGGCGAATAAATCGAATAAAGTTTTTTTTTGTTTCTCCAGAGGAAAATTTATTGTGCCATTGTTTGAAGGTATTTTTTTATTTAGCGTTCATCACATAGTATGCATGAAAAAGTAACCTACAATCTGAAGTATGCTTGCTGGATGAAGAGAAGTAGTACACAGTCATGCAGACTAGAGCCTGTTGGATCGAAAATTTTCGGACTTGAATACGGTTAACAGAAAAATTTCAAACTCGCACCTGATCAGGTTCGAGACCAATCCGATAGGGTCTAACGCACGCGTACATCAACATCTATGTTCATACCCATACTCGCAGTGATTCTTACCGTGGTATTCTATTTGATCTACTTGAATTAAATTTTATAGTATTTCCATCATCAATAGATGATAAATTAATCATTTGTTCAATTGGTTCTTCTTCATCTTTATCTTCAATAGTCAATCTTCCAACTATTTTTCCTATCGGTGTATTTTCTTCTATATTGAAATGATAGATATCATGTGTAAAATATGGAACATGATCATTGATATTATTAATTTGTACATCAACTATAACTATAGATGAATATTTTTGTATTGGATAACCAAGATCATATGCACGTATACCAATACGATACCATTCACATTGTTCTCTATCAAGTTTACGTTTAGTACGTAAAATTCCTGAATATTTATCAATTGAAAAAAATTGTTGTTTTTTAACAATAAGTTCATAATGAACAGTTCCATTTCTACCTTTATCAATATCATATGCATGTAAACGAGTTATAATTGATTTTCTCGGTAGATTTTCATTGATTTGTATATAAAAATAAGTTTGATTAAATATAGGAACATTATCATTTATATCAAGAAGTATTAAATAAATAAATAATTCTGATTGAAATGAATTTGATATTGTATTCATTTCTATTGATTGATTTTTATTGACTATTAAATGTATTATATAATTTTCATATTGTTCACGATCTAATATTTGAGAATTGAATAGACCATAGACATTAGGACGAACAATAGTTAAATGAAAAAAATTTGATATATGACAAAATGTTCTATTATCTTAAATTAAAAATGGAAATGATTATTCTAAAAAAAAGAAAAACATAGGTTTTTATATTTTACTTATGAAAATTTCTTCTCGTGAACATTGAACATATGTTTGTAAATTAAGTGATAAACTTCTATTTGATATTTGATCATTATCATATAAATGAAGTAATGCAAGAAGGGTATTTACTGGTAAAGATTCTTCTTTAGTTAAAGAAATTATTTCAGCATCGTTTTCAATAAGATTTATACTTGAACGAAATGAATTTATGAAACGATTTTGTTCTAAAAACAAAAGACTTCGTTTTATTCTCTCAGGCATTATCAAAAAAAAGAAAGACAAACTGAACGAGCAGTTGCATATCACAACAAAAAAACATAGATAAGAATAATTTCTAAAACAAATTAGTAATATTTTACTCAAAGTTAGTCTGTAGTTGAGTGATGATAAGACTTGAATATATTAGTTTTTGAAACTCATAACAGTCTACCATGAAGATTTTTTCATTCTTTTAAGGTATTTAGCTTTAAGGATGTAGCCTTGAGAATTTTATTCATATGTTCATACATACAGAATAAATACGAAATTCATTTTCTCATGAGAGAATATTCCAAGGCATTGGTTTTCGCTTTTCAGCCAGAGCTAGCAATATGCGAAATCAATTTTAGTCTCAGAAAGGAGACCGTGACTACGAGAAAAAAGTCGTCCCAGTCGGAACTAAAGATTATAGTTAAATATTATATGGTTTTAAGCGAATTATTTTGCAGAATTCTCGATCTATGTCTTTCCGATACATGAATCTTTCAAAAAAATACAACCTGCATGTACTGTCTAAGTTATATACCTCGTTGAGACTTATTCCAAAAGTTATGCATTTTTTTTTTGTATGCAAACTAATCTAATTGTGGTCTACATGTTGGTAAAGTGTCGAGACGAAATTCAAAAATATCGTCTTGTTATGAACGTGGAGTCCTACAACGAAAATTTACTAAAAATGTTCGATCTCCGTAGAAATGTATTGTAAGCGCGAACCCTATTTTATGGTGGACTCGGTTATTTGCGTTCAAAATAAGTATTCTAAAACTAGTACCTATGACTAGATTATGTTCATTTTTGAGAAATTCTGTATAGAATTGATTAGTCTCTTTATTTCAGGTCCAAATAATTGAAAAACGTTCAAATACTATCAAAAAATGACTGTTTTGTTATTGACACTCACACAGACGATTTCTGTTAAGCAAATATAGATTGTTATCAAATACTTATAGATAGACCTAAAAGTCTATTTGATATAGAGTTCAATGACAAGTTCCAAGTCTTTCAGATGCTTCCTTCAAACTTGAAAGTATAGATAAAATTTCTTTAGGAAATAGATTCCATTCACAGAGCTACACGATGCAGCTTATAAATTTTCTTTTGTTTCGTCGCTTTTATATTAAAATTAATTGGAGTTCGTAGAAAAGTCAAAATCATATATTATTTCTCTGCTCGAATATTCGTCAAGAAAATAATGCTGCAAAACTTTTGCATTATCGATACGTTTTTTCAATAACTCGTCCTATGTTAATGGAACCGCACTGCATATCTTTATCTATCACATAGAATCAAAACTAACAATAACAATAAATACTTAGTAGGAATGACTGAGGTCTTTTTTGGTCATTACGAACGAAGATAAACTCAATCGTTTGATTCATAGATCAGAATCGAAATCTAAATACTATAAAGAATTATAATTGGAATCCACACTTCTTAAGTCTTGTCATATTCGATACACAACACAACTCTTCTTTCTATACAATTCTGAAAGCTATTGGATTAAAATTAAATAATGAAAGATAATAATTATTTATTTCACAAACCTTCATTTAATTGTGGTTCTGATATACTCATAATTTTCATATTATTTTCATCTGGCATAGTAACAATAATTTGTGGTTTTTCATTATTTATATCTTCAACAGTAATAATAATATCTGCAAATGATGATACAGATATCCATCTAGCAGTTTCAATATCTTTATAATAACCTTTTGCTTCAACCTTAATTTTATATTCTTGTTTTATTTCATAATTAAGTTTATAATCAAATAGAAATATATCTCCTGTATCTTTATCAATACGAAACATTATTTGATTATCTAATTGTATAAGATCATTACCAAATAATATATAGAAAATATTACTATTAAAGAAAATTTGTGTATTATAAACTTGTACACGTCCAATAAATGTTCCTGGTAGAATATTTTCTTGTACAATAAAATGATAATGTTTATTTTCAAATTCTAATATGTTATTATTAATATCAATAATATTAATTGATAAATGAATAATAATTGAAATATTTTCATAAATTAATTCTTGTTGAATTGTATATATTGATATATGTTTATGATATAATAAATCAATAACATGTAAATATAATGTACAATTTTTATTTTGTATTAATAAAATTTCAAATGGTAAATTATTATAAAGAGAAAAAGTTGTATTCATTGAAAAAATTAAACAAAATGATAAATCATATGTATCAATTATTTGTGTATGACCTATTGGTACATCTTTAGAAACGAATATCCTAAAATAATCGAATTAGAAAATTATAATATAAAATTTAAATCATATTTACATATATGTTCGATTAAATTTCGATGAATCAGATATAGTTCTTACTATAGAGACCATAGAAAATAGAATTAAAATAGAAATTAATTTCCACATAGTTTAGCAGAGAATTATAAAGAATATTACTATTAACTAAAGGTTAGCTTCTTTTTTTTTCTCTTATCAAACCAATTCATTTACTTGTGTATGATACAACAAATAATGAGAAAAAGATATGACACTCAAGCATATATGATTATTGAGTTTTAAATCGATAATTTTCTTACATGGGAACTGAATAAAAAAAAAGAATCAATCATATGTAAAAATTATTCACTATATAGGATGTGTAGTGGAAGTTATTAACCTTCTCTTTTCTTGCAGTAATATACACTTGTGTGTTCACTGCACACATATATTTGTAAAAGATTCACTCACTATATAGGTTTACTTATTGTATCAGAGATGAAATCAATGTCGATTATCGACAAACTGGCTGCTGCATCTTATTTACTTTTCAGCATTTGTAATATAAATTTATTCCACACTTCTATTAGTCTTAGTAATAGTATTTCATAGAGGATGTGTAATGAAATTTTGTTGACACTGTTCAAAGATGAAGTTGGTACCAGTCGTCAAAAATTCACACCGATTCCATCTCTGCATTGTGTGTATCCCTCTGTACAATACGAAATATTCTATAAGGAATTGATTTAATTCTTTTGATGAACTTTTTGAAAAGGAGATAGCTGAGATTTTTATCTAATTAGTATATCATGTTATATGTTGAAAAGACATAATTTATGATACAACATTATAACTATAGGATGAATAGAGTGCAAAGTTGAAATTGAATGTGAACGTACAGTACGTATTCTTAATAATAATGAAGAAAACGAACTGATCTTCTATTTTCAGAAATGAATTACATGGTCATTTGACACTTGAGTGAAAATATTTCAATGAATATAGGAATATCCTTGTAGTATAATGCTTTAAAATTACAATTGTGCATTTTCTCTAACAAAAAACAAGATAACCGAGAAATTATGAATCTACGATAAACATTTGATTAATATCGTGATTAGAAACAATTTTTGTAATAATGATGATAAGTCAATTAATGATCTGTAGTAATAATATAGTGGGATAATCATTGTAGACTCTAATTTTTCAGCTATTTTCTTTTCTAGAGAATCCACTGTTATACTATTTGAAACAATACACTTTAATTGTATATATCCATAGAAATATTTTCAATCAACCGTTTAATAGCTACAGATAGAGTCAAACAAATATAATCATTCATCATTTTTTTTCGACACTTCAATCTGCAACTAGTTTTCAAAAAAAAAAAAAGATTTTCTGCTCGAAATGTCGTTGGTATATTTCTACAGACCATCTTCAGAAAATAAGCTATGAAATAATCAAAACTAATGAAATAGCTAAACATAAACAACCTTGATCGATAAGCGTATTGTTGACTGGTCATAACAGAAGTCTCATCAATATTAACTAATGATATATATATATATCAATGATTTCGATCTTCTATTCAATATTACATCATTCAGTACATTACTAGACAATCATTTAATATAATCGAAACATTTTCTTTTTTAAACAAATATGAAAAGAATGAACACCTATAAGCTCAGAATAAAACAAAACTGCACTGAAAAAAATGTTCATTGTTATTCATTCAATTTCGATTATTACTAAAAGAACAAGACAAAATTGTACATAAATATGAGCAAAAAAAAAAAAAAAGAAGAATTTTTTTTTTCTTTCTTTAACAACATTGATTTAAAATAGTACTGTTCGATATTCCATTCGATGAATTAACAATTTTATTTGGGTCAATACTTTCAACAATCATTGATAGACAATCAAGACTTGATATTGTTGATGATCTTGTATGATGTGCTAATACCACTTCAGTATAATCTAAAAATAGATTTATAGTATATATATGATTTTGACTAGATTGACAATAATAATAACAATAATCATTTATAGAATCTAATGATAATGACAGTATCTCTGCCTTAATTCGATGAGAAACATATATGTATATATATATATATACACATATATATCATGTGCTGTTAAGACATCAAAAATAAAGACATTTGCATTATTAACATGCTATTTAGCACATTTGATTAAGCGAGAAAAAAATCTTCTTTTTTCTTTTTTAAAAATTTAAATTCGTATATTGACTTACTATCAATTGTTTCATAGACAGATGGTGTTGCTGAATTACTATTATAATCTGTAGTTACATTATCATATTTTTCACTGTAATTTATCATTGAAGATTTTGGTTTTAACAACTATATATATATATATATATACATACATATATAAACATATAATAAACAAAAAAGAAAAAAGAAAAAAGAAACTTTACTTCATTAATATTTGATTTTTGATTATCTAAATCATGTCTTAATGATCTTGAACTAATTCCAGATGAACGAAGTAAATCTTCTAAATTTTCAATATATTCAATAGCATTACGTAAAATTTCAACTTTAGGTAAACGTTGACTTGGATTAGGACATGTACGTCGTTTTAATGTTTCAAATGCTTCATTGACTTTTCTTAGACGTCGACGTTCACGCATTGTTGCTGCTTTTCGTCGATCAACAGTTACTGTTTTACGTTTACATGCTTTACATGCCCATAATAAACAACGACGTGTACCATCACATGAACCATTATTATTATTATTAGGTGATTCTGTATGAATATCATTTTTATTTGGTGTTATAGTTATATTTGATTCATCATCACATGAATGAATCGATGGTGAACGTGATTCAGTTGTTGAACTTGATGAAAGTGTTGTTTGTTGTAATGGTATTGATGAATAAAAATAATTAAGAGATTTATCAGGACTATGTTCAGATGTTGGTGAAAAAGATGTATAAGATGAATTAACTGGTTGAAGTGTTGAATAATGTGGTATAAATGAAGCAGAAGAAGATGAATCAAAATCATATGATTGTTGTTGCTGTTGTTGTTGTTGTTGATGATGATGATGATGATAAAATGGTGATGTATATGAAGATGTAAATTGAGGATATTGTCCATCTAATTCATTTGTTGTATTATAACCAATATTAGGATGAAAATAAGTACCATAAGATGGAATAGAACTCGATGTTGATGGTGGTATCAATGTATTATCAGTATATTGTTGTTGACAACTTCGAAAGTCTGTCATCATTGTGATTTCGTTTTTTTTTTTTTTTTTTTTTTTGAAAGATTGAAGAGAATGGTAATTAATATGTATTATATACAAAATAAAAAACTATTACTGGATTTCATAATGATACGATGCATTTGCTTCTACTTCTTTTTTCCCTTCTTCTTACCATCGTTTTCTTTTATCTGGTTGGTTGATTGAAGTTGTATTTTATGAGAGGATCGAATAGCAATTAACAATCGTTTTTCTTCTTCTTTTCTCTATTTCTATATTACTGATGATGTACAACTAGACTGATAACAGAAAAGAGAGAGAGAGAGAGAGAGAGAAAAACGAGTATAGATGATAAAATATTTAGATTGAGAACAAGTCATCAAGACAAAATGTGTAACGGTATCTTCTCATTTTCTTTGCAAACAAAACTTGATAAAAATTTTACAAAAAAAAAACATAATTGCGGTTTTCTTTTGTTTTTTTTTTTGTTATATTTACAATTAAAATATTTCAAATATGTGACCTGACATGTTTAAATATCACGCATAGAAGAACAAAAAGAAAAACTGATCAGTCATAATATCAGATATCGACAAAAAAGAACAGGTGTAAATTTATTGACAAAATTACTATTGATTATTAGTGTCTGTAAAATGATTATATTATTAAATATTCTAATCTAACTGAATGATAATCATTTTAACAAAAAACAATTATTTTCATATCAATAATATAGCCATTCTTTCGAATATAAAAATTTTCTAGAAGAAAATAACCAATAGTAATTAATGTAACTTCCATGATGGGATACATATATATATCAACGATGTTAGATTTTGTTAATTGATATGTTGAAGATAAATTCCACTGAGAATGATACGCATCTATATATAAATACGATCAATACTGATGGGTAAAAAAAGAACAAAGCAAATTAGCCTATAACTTTGGTCGCTATAACTGTAGGTGGTAGTAAAAAAAAAAATCTTATTCTAAAATGTTAAATAAACACGAATATAGAAATATGTCCTTGTTAGAAAGAAAATCGCCTATGAGAATTGGGATTTGTTAGATTACAAAAAAAACATCAGTTGTCAATAGAAAGTTACACGATATGACATAGAACTTAGTAACTAAATACGCATATTATAATAATACAAACTGAAAGTTTAACGATACTTTTTATTCTTTTTTTGTTCTGAAAAATGTAATCGACAAGCTCATTAGTTCTGCTAATCAATCGATCAGTGTGTAAAGAGAAAGACGAGAAGAATACCGACAAATGGTATTTAATATCTCTCTCTCTAGAGAGAGAGAACATTTGATGAAGAATAAAAAAGAAAAAGAATTCAATATCTTCAAATTGAAAATATGCATCTTTTCAAAAGATATAATACAGGACCATCCGAATGTCAGTTAACCGAAGAAAAAATTGAATTTGACCGAATTGGTTGATTTTTTTATCGATGATAAAGAAGTGTTCATGGTTCATATCCTCAAGGAGAATATTGAAAAGAGCCTTTCCCGATTACATTCAACGGAGGATCTCTCCAGTTGATTTATAGCTTCTGATCCTTTATTTTACTACATCGTAATGGACCATTTGTTCATAACTGCCGACGGATTCCCTTTTTTGTGGAGCTTTGACCGCGATGTTGAATTTCCTCCTCCAGAAGCCATAATTTTCAATGAAACCTTAATTTAAAATTTTTCGTATGATACTTTACCGTAATTAAAGTGTCAACGAGACTAACTTTTGCAAAAAATTTCAGAATTTTTGCAGGCACTATCTCCGAGATGTCAATTTTTCTAGAAGATAAGTGCAGTACCTGAGCACCAAATTTTACCACCAGGCATTGTGTTACTGATACATATTTGAAGCTGGACTGGAAATTAAGGTGATAGCTATGAATGCGAATCGTACTACTTCAATTCAATTTTTCAAAAATAACGACTTTTTATAAAACTCAACTAAAGATTTTTGAAGGCTATCATTTAAGTGGTCAGTAAAATAAATGAAATAGTCAGTAAAAGAATATATAAATGATCAGTAGAAATATTGAATTGTCAGTAGTATGACGGTCAGTACTTAATTAAAAAATGGTCAGTAATTAATCATAAAATGGTCAGTTTTCTATATACAAGTATCAGTAAAAATTTCAAATTTGATCAGTAAAAGTGCAGATTTTATTAGTAGAAGAAATAGCTTTATTCATATAAAGATTAATTTATATAAGAAAAATAAATTAAAATAAATAGAAAAAAAACCAATGAGTAAATAAGAAGAAATCCAAAAGGTCATTATATGGAAATTCAAAGAATGAAAGCAAAAAAGAAAATGAAAATTCAATTATTATACTAGCAATATAGGTTTAGCCTTTACTAGTCTACCTCTGTTTTCTTTTCTCATTGATCTAGACGTTTTTTTTTGCTAGTGGTTTACAATATTTGAAATGAACAGACACATCTACAATGTGTTTGCATATGCAGTTCTTCAAAAAAACCTAAACAGTTGCATTTGATGTTTTCCAAGCTGAGACATGTTTCATTTCCAAACACCAAATATTAAATGATTTTTGAATTGAATCAAAGTTGTCAATTTTTTTATTTATATATTTATTGAAATCGACTTATGTAATCGATTGTAAATAACTAGCTCGAGTACAATATTATTCTGAAGCACCATTTGGAAGGCCAACTAAGTTTTTTGTTGATTTAGCCCATTGATAGGATAAAGTCTACAATTCTGAAGATATTGTTGATTCTGTAACAAATATTTTGCATTAATTGAAGAAGAGTCTCCTCCAGTTCACCAACTATCGACGATATTTGAAGCTATTATCAAAAATCTCCATAAAACATGACATTCTCTAATTATTTCATCATTTTTGTTTCTTTTATTAATTGCCTCTAAGGCGCTGTTTGCACGGGTGAGGTGATAGTATAACACGTTTCGATGTTTATACTTACCATTTAAATTAATTTACTGACCTTTAAATATATTAACGAACCAGTTATTTTAATAACTGACCATTTAAATAATTTACTGATCATTCATTTTTTACTGACCATTCATTTATTCTACTGATCATTTCATTTATTTTACTGACCATAAATTATATTCCCATTTTTGAAGTTAACGAATTTGAATCTTTAATCGGTTTTTTTCTGGTAAGTGGAAGGCTATTTCAAATAAATAATTGCATATTATGAAAACGTGAGTAAACTGCAGAAAATAAGTTTCCATTGACCCAAAAAAAAAATTCAACTCAAGAATTTCGAAAAACTGACTATAGATTTGGATTCATCAACTCTAGAAAATTTTAATCAAGTTTATAACAAATTATTATTTTCGAAAAATAAGTTTGTCTTGATTGAAACAATTGCATTAAAATAGTATGATTCTCACTCATAGCTCGGTACCCTAGTACATTCAATTCCACAATGTGTTGGAAGTTCCAAAGTTGCACTTTTTCCCTTACAATTCTTCAAAACCTCTATGCTTTACATAATATCAATGGAGAAGTACCTAGATTTTGAAAAAACTGGTATTCTGGAGATGCTATAAGCGAAAGTTCTAGAATTTTGTGCAAAAATTAGTTTTGTTGAGACTTTGATTGCAGTAAGGTTTCATGCCAAAAGTTTGAAATTAAGATTTTATTGAAAAATCGAGGTCCTAGACGGGAAACTTCACGAAAAATTCAATATCTCGGTCAAAACTGCACAAAAGAAGGAATCCTGTGGAGGGTATTATGAATAGATGATTTGTGTCACTATTTGGTGAAATAAGAGCTCAGAAACTGTAACAAAATGGAATATGTTAATAAATTTTCAGATATCTTTGTTTTTTTTTTCGGCAACTATCCACGGAAATACCGTACTAAAATTTAACCGAAGCTGATAATGTTTTTCAGGAATTTTTTTGTACAAGAATATCCGAGAAGATTCTATAAAGTCAGATAGACTAGTAAAAAATAAATGCCAAGATTGCAAACATAAGTTATTTAAAAATTAAGAAGTTTAAATCATATTATAGAAACTCAAACTCTATCACTTACTTTGATATAACATGTAAAATTTTGTCATTTAAATAGGTAACAATAATTTCAAGCGATATTATTAAATATTTTAGTCATAAAAAAAAAACTTGAAATTCTACTCTACTATCAGGAGAATACATAAGAGCATTTGATTAAAATACATTGAAGATATATATATGATTTTGTTTTTGATAAATGATTTCTAGGACACGTAGTATATGCACATAAACAAACATCATTTATTGTCTTTAATTCGAATAGATAGAAAAAAAAAAAACTTTAAATCTTACAACAAAACATGTTATAATAGCTTCTGTACGAGTTTTTTTTAATGAAATATAATTTTCGCAATTATAACGAAAAACAAGAATATTGACATAAGATAAAATCAAACGTAATTTGTAGAACAGCGTAAAAAATGAATGTCGTAATACTAATGTGCATTAAATTGATCACTCAGTTAAAGGTCTATGTTCATCATCATTGTCTGGAGGTCGTTGGAAATCATTTTCACCAATGAGATAAATAATAATAGCAGCAAAAATCAAAAACAGAATGCCAGCTATACTGAACATATTTCGTTGAGATTTTAATGTACTATCATCATACAGTTTCTCACTAAAATACAAAACAAATAATAAAAAAGCAACAAATTACATTACTTACAATACACAATATTCTACAATACCCGTCATAAAAGAAACAAGTGCAAAAATAAATATTGTTTTACCCCAAAATCTATGACTAAACAAAAAGTATGTCAATTAAAAGAAAAAATATAATTTTCATTTTTACGTTGGCATATATGCTTGACGAATACTTTCGCTTAATTTTGGAAAAAGATAAGTTGTAAAACCACATACCCATTGTAAACCAAATAAAGTTACAGTTATAATACCAATCCATGAATGAAGTGTCTCTAGATTACCTAGTGGTGGAACAGCTCGATTATGACTATCGAAAACACCTTTAAGACCAATTGATGATAAAATAAGTGAAAGTGCTAATAAAGTTCCATGAAGAATTTTAACAAAAAGTTTTTTTGTATTAGGAAATACGCGATAAACTAATATAGCTTTTAAATATACAAAAAACATTCATTCGGAAAGATATTTTAATTAAATAAATTAACTTACCATCACCATAGAAAAATACCATACCAAGTGTCATAAGTAATGGATGATTATTAAATACTTTTGTAAGATCCGACTAAAAAAAAACAATACACACATATATTTTTGTTTGTTTGTTTGTTATTCTTGTATGTCATATAGCAAACTTCGAATATTTCGCTTTGAGAAAGAAGTAAAAAACAAACTTACTCCCCATCCAAATCCACCACGATATTGTCCAAAAAGAACACCAATTATAATAAGTGCTATGATGCCGACGATTTGTGAAAATGTTACCATAAAATAATACCATTGTGTAGACTTTTTTGGAACACCAATTTCATCATAATTTACTATACTCATCGATAAAAAATAGATTTCAAGTTTCTAGATAAAAACAAAAAAAGAAAATATTATTTAGCTTTATATGTGAAACAATAGGCAATGACTATTAAGAAGCAAACAAATATTTTGCTTTACTTCTTGCCAATCACGCATGAAGAGAATGTGGCGATGTGAACCTTTTTTTTAAAAGTACTTTCTAGGGAGAAAATAATTCAAGCGGAAACATCAAAAGAAAAAGATAAATATAACGCAGTCATGTACATTATAAAACAAAGAAAGAAACGAAAAAAATATTTTTTTTATAAATAAAAAACCTATATTAATCATTACTCCGAATATTATCCCTTTTCAAATGTTATATATATATATATATACATACTATATTATACATCCTAAAATAGCAGAAAAACACCCTCCATTATTATTCAATGAGTTTTATTTATTGATAAACTGATTTTTTTAAAATTAAATCCATAAATAAATTTCAAAAACATGAAACTTCATATAAGAATACAATTTTTCATATCCGTACGAAAAATTCTTTATTCATGCCAGAGTTGTAACTGATAATAGTAAAGAGTTTTTATTTGTTTGTTTTTTTTCCACAAATTAAACACTTTTTACTGATGTCAGAGATTATTGCTGTGATACTCGACGTTACTCTATTTAATCGAAAAATCATTATAACATAAGACAGTGGAAAAAAGTTTAACTACAATATATTTTTCTATAATGTTGGGGTATTAGCTTAAATACAGATAATGGTTTTAATAGTCAATGAAGTTTTCTATCCAATGCATTCTCTACTAGATGAACTATTATGGCAAGATTTCAAAAAGAAATCGGACAGAATAATTTTCAAGTCCTGAAGGCTATTTTTTAACAGTGCATTTTAAAGAGAACAATGGGATGGGTCGCCACATTTTCTACAGCCTTCCCATAGAAACTTAAAAGTATCATATAAACTAAAAAAAGAGATATTTTTTTGAAAAATTTCGCTTTTTTACAGTCTTTGTGATAGTCTTAACTTTTTAAGAAAAGGTCATAGAAAATGTAACAATCTCTCATTTCGTTCAGAATTTTATGCGCTTTAAAGTAGCATTATTGAAAAAAGTAGTCTTCTAGGACTTGACAACTACCGTATTAGGTATTGAAATCACTATCTGGATTTGAACTAGATGCTTAACATAATAGATTAAAAAATTCAAAAACACGTTGCTGTGAGGTTTTCTTTTCCATCAGCTTACTTATGACATTTTATCAACTCATTTTCATATCAAGTTATGTTATCAAAATAAAATTGAATAACTGTTTAACATTGTAGTTATCATAGATTTACTTTCACTTTCCCCCCGACTGTTTATAGGATATAACGAGTGTTATAAAAGCTCCCGGATAAATATTAGCTTCAAATGTACTCGAGAAGAAGGAGGAAAGAAAGAAGAATACGCTTAGGTTTCACCTACCTTGCTGTATAGGGTACTGCCTGGTGACAGGTCCGATAGCTCGATATCTTCCTTAGAACGCTGACAAGCTGTAGCTCTGGATAGATGGGCAGCCTGACGCAAAGATCTTGCGCTCCCCATAGATACTAACTAACTACATACTAGCCACAAGAGCCGATATAGATCACAACGTAGTCATCATGCTATGGGACAGGTGATCCGAGACAAATAACCGTTAGTGACTTTTCAAGGGTCATTTCATGGCTGATGGTACTGAGGTTTGCATATCGTACCATGTGAACATGTGTCGAATAATGTAATCACTCAGTCATGGCGGCAACGCAGAAGGAGATAGGAAGATCATTCATTTTTCTGTTAGATAGAAAGTGATCCCTAGCTTGAAAAAGTATGTTTCGCCAACTGTTATTTATGTACTACTAATGTCCATTTCAAAATAAAAGGTAGATCGGTATCTTTCGAATAACTGTTGATAGAAAAGAGTAGATGAAGACGCATCGAGTTGTATATTATAGAATAATTTAACCTAATCTTTTCAAAGACTTAAATCGATGTTTTTAAAAACCAGCGTACTCCATAAGGTGACTAAAGTGAATTTTCACTAATCAGGTGTGCATTCGAACCGATAATGGAAGACCTACAAAACTGTACAAGACCCAGACTTTTAGATTTACTCGTTGAGAAATTATAATATTCTACTCGAAATTCTTAGTTAATTTTCCCATTAATGTCTGTGAAAAAATCACTTTTGTTTGCGTTTTGCTTATTTATGAGAAAACAATTTTCCAGCAGGTTTTTTTAGAAAATCGATTAAGAAAACTTTAGAAAAACCTATAATATATGATTTGATGCGTTTTCATCTCCTCTTTTTTAACGATGAAAATTGTATCTCTCTATCTCGTTGCTATCGAGGGTTATGCGAAAATACTCACCTGCCTTTTATTTTGAAATGGACATTGGTAATAAAATCGTTTTGATGTTTACAAACTTTCGGCAACACAGATTAAAAGCATTTAGCGGTAAACAAATTTTATATTTCAATAACGACATCCACCTAGATTGTTTATTTGGTTAAGTTGTACTTGAAACGACAAAAAAGCTAATTTAAACGTATTTTTCTTTAAAGGAATTCGGTTTTGAAAAATCTCTTGGTATAAGTTTTATTCAACAAAAAGCTTTACAATTTCAACCATTGAATTGGTATCGAGGAAACATTTCAATCAAGGAAATGTACTAAATAATAACTTTTTCGAACATTTGATACTGAAATTTCAACAAAAAAAAAATTCAACCAGAAGTAGTAATAGTAGTCAAGTTTCACTATGATTTTTGTGCATAGCAAAAGCCAATATAATTGTTTATATAATCTAAAAAAGTCAGCTTAGAAAGTTACATTTTAGTGAAGATATTCATTTTTGTTCGATAAAGCAACAGCCATATTGAAGAAATTTAAATTGTGTTTCTCACGAATTTTGATAATATCGAAAGCGATTTTATGACTAGGGGAAAAATATTAGCTGTTAAAATATTTCGTTTTCAAGTAGGAATCACACTTTCCATGACTAGTGTATCCTACATATTCTCAGACGACTAGAGCCCATCAGATCCAAAATTTTCAGATGTGACCGCGGCCGGAAACAATAGAGATTTCAGTGTTGAAGTCTACTATTTCTTCTTCGCGCTGATCTGGTACCTGTAAGAAAAAAACTCTTCCAGTTTGAATTCTGACCCATACCCGATCACAGATATAGATACCCGACGCACAAGTCATAGTACTATCTTTCTGTATCATCTCTGAAAAACTTGAAATCTGCAGCCACTTTGTTAAAACTATTGTTTGATTAACGTTTATTTTCTACTAGATTTTATTTTTGAATACTTAAAAAAAAATGGGTTCGTGAATATCAAAAAAGAGAAACAGTGAAAGAGAAGAAGAACGTCTTTTCAATTCACAACAATAACAAACAAAGTCAGCGACTACTTTACACGATTGATGGTTTAATTCGTGCGTGCACAAAAAAAAAATACTAACTAGATATTAATCAGTTAAACTACTAAAACAAACACTACAGCAAGAAAAAAAAAAATTCACTAATATCTTTTGTTACTATTTGTTGGCAAGTATTATAGAAAAAAAACAACAACAACAAAACATTTTCTTCATAAATAACTATCAGACCAACCATTTGTATAAAGCGATGTAGGACTACCTATATGATTAAAAAGTCCAGGTATTGATGATGTTATATTATCATCAAATCCAAATGTTTGCATACGAAGCATTTTTTCGTATGGTGTAGGTACATGTCGATTATTATCATCACCAGTTGCTTGACAATATTTTATCGTATGAGCTTCAAAAAGAAAAAAAAAATGGTTTATATTACGAATTAATGAATATAAAGAAAAAAATAAAAGAGACTCACCTTGTGAACCAGTTGCTCCACAAATTGGACATTGATAAGCACGTAAAATTGGACATGTTACATTGCCAATTGAATCTTTTAATGAATGACTTGAATATATAAGTTCATTTTCACCATTATTTCGACAAAAAACACACACCTAGAAATAATTATTTTTGATTTAATGATTTCAAAAAAAAAAAAAAAAAAAAATTTTTAAACCTCTTTTTTCATTCCACATTGTCGTTTCCAATTAGCTTCTTGAATAAGATGTTTTATTATTTCCATATCGATTTTTTCTGAACGTAATGGACGATTATTATTCGTTGTATTTGCAGCAAGAATTTGTTGTGCTGTTGTACTTAATAATATATTTGTATTTTGTTGATTTTGATGTACTATTGTTGACATTTCAGATAAAAACCATGGATCATGAGATTGATATTGTTGATGTTGAAAAGATGATGCATGACTAAATGAATTATTCGAATTTGGGAAAAGTGAATTCATTCGTTGAGGAAATAAAGAATTGTTTAAACAAGGTGGAGGTTTCATATTAATTTGTGGTACATATGAATTTTTATTAATAGATATTTGAGATGGCATAGAATGTCTATCATCAAAAGTTGACCAAGAATTCGATGATGTTGTACAAACTGTTCGAACATTTGATGATAATCCATCGACATGATCCATATAAGAATACAAACGGCTTGCTTCTAAGAACAAAAGATCTATTTATCATAGCTATGTGAAATACGATGTAAAGAGAATGTTGAAGTAGACAGGTAAAAATTTGAATCTTCCCACAGACGTTGATATACGATCAAAAACCGTATATCAATAACGTTTTATTATAGGCATTTATGGGTGAATAGCTACATTCTTCGGGGTAGGTATCCTATATCGATTAGAAAATTTCATTGAAAGTATCAAAGTACGGTTCAATCGGATCCGACGAACTCTAATCACCAGCAATAAAATGACCCTGGACAAATCACTAATGGCCATTTGTCTTGGATCACCCGTCCAATAGCATATTGACTACGTTATGAAATACTCCTACTCTTGTGATTAGTTAGTGTGTATAGGAAGCTCAAGCAATTGATCACAAGAACTTTGTATCAAGTCGACCTTCTATCCAGAGCTACAGCTAGTTATAGTTGTAGGAATGATATCGGGCTCTTGAATCTGCCGCTAGACCGCTGAAAGCCAGAGGTACAAGATGTTTGTTCACTTTTGACGTTTTCCGACCAATCCCAAGCTATAAGTTAGAATCAGAATTTTGTCTTCTTTTCGAATATGGACTTAGAAATTTTGTCACAAATTTCAATCGTTACTCCTACATCAGTTTGTAGGTTAGAATCTATATTACAAAATCTAGTATTTTTTTTTCTTTCGATAATATACCCAATTTTCGTTTTTCCTAAATAATCATTTTTGAAAAATCGAAAACAATCTCCCTGTGATTATCAACAGTGGCTATATGATGTTTCATATTTTAATCCCACATGGATTGCATTAACAACTTTATGAAAATTTTTATTACATACCATTGTTTACTTCAGTATGTTGAACGGATATTGATTGATGTGTATTTGATGTTGCACCAAGTGCTATGAAAATAAAATAAAATAAATTTGAATTCATTAGATAATGTTTACTTGTTGATGATTTATATATTGAATCGGATAAATGACGATGTTCAATAAGATAACGATCCATATTTGTTGTTGTTTTAGGTGTATTAGTTTTAGTACATGGAAATAATGGACTAATTGAAGATGTATTTAATGGCCAATTTGGTGTATTTTTATCCGTAATTTTTGTTGGTGTTATTGATAGATTAGTATTAATTGTCATATTTTGAAAAGCCGTTGTTGTATTATTTATAGGATCGAGTAAACGTCGTGGCATAAGAGGTGTTGGTGGTGGTGTTGTTGTTTCAATAGACATTAATTTTAATGGTAATGGTTTGAGCCAATCTTCTATTAATTAAAAAGAAAAAGTTATTTTTTTAGTTTTGACAAAATAATTATTTGATTTACTTGAATTAGTATTATTAATTTGGTTAATAGATGAAGAAGAAAGAGTTAAATTATTAGTCAATTCAATATGATTGTTTTCTTCTTGAGGATAAAACAAATCATCTGCTAGTTCTTCATCTTTATCAATAATACTTGATGGTGGTGAATAAAAATCTGTTATACCAAATTCTTCACTTATTGAATAACCACGACCAAGAACTGTTTCCATATTGATTTCAATAGATGTATAATAGTATGATGTAAAGAAGAAAAAAAAAATATTTGCGATTACAAATGCACTCACACGCACACACACACTATTTCTTTCTAAAATATACAATGAATTTAAACATGTTTTATTGTAAACAAATTTTAGTAAGAAACATCTCTTTTTCTCTCTCCCGATCGTTCTTCTACTTTTTGTTATATAATAAAAGCTATATTTCATTTGTATGTTGATACTTTTCTGTCTGTTTTCTATGAAATGAAAATTTTAAAAGGGGATATAGAACAAAAATATAGAATATATTTCGAGAGAGAAATGATTTTCTTTTATACAACCAATAAAATATTTTTACCCTGGATAGGAAAGGTTACAGTGGCTATATGAAAATGAAAACAGCCAGATATATGGAAAGAATGAAAAATGAACTAAAATTTCAAATGAATTTTATTTGTTTCTTTTTTTTCTTTCTAAACAAATTATTAAAAGAAAAAGAATTCAATTTCTTCATCTGATAAAAGAAGAAACATTATCCTTTGTATATTGCTATTGAAATAATAGTAACGGAAAATATTAAAAGATTTCTATTGTAAAATAGAAAGAAAAAGAAAATCTCGGGTAAAATTTTTATTGTTTTCTTGCGACATCTGTTTAACTATTTCTTTTGTGTCTAATTTATCCATTCCGTAAAATCTGTCAAGAAAGAAGCGATTTTTCTATTCTTATTATTTTTTTTTGATTCCAGTAATTAAATATGGATACACTTAATTTTCGTCTTGCTGAAGAAAAAAATTTTCATAGTGAAGTTCTTCTATTTTCATTTAATCCTGAACATGATATTATTGTTGTGTGTTCAGCAAATGGCGATGTATAATTCTCATTTAAATTAATAAGTTATTTATTTTTTTGTTTTAATTCAGGTTATTGCTTATCAAGCTTATATTCGTAAAGTTTGGGCATTAGGTACAAGAAATCAACGTAAAAAACCTGTTAGTCTAGCATGGCGACCTGATGGACAAAGTATTTGAAATTAATTGTTTTATTTTTCTTTTATTAAATAAATAATTTTATAATTCATATTTTAGTATTAGCTGTAACTTTTTCAAATCGTACACTTGTATTAGCATCAGTTCAAGATGGTCATTTATTATTATCGGAAACTTTACCATTTGAAATTCGTTCATCAACTTGGATTGAACGTACAATAGGACAACAAGATGAAAATACTCATGTACAATTTGAATCAATACCTATTGATGATTATTTACCAGTTCTTGTTGATTTACCATCTATTAATCGAGCAAGAAAACATGTGGTTGATCCACCAGATGATCTTTTTACACTTGATAAACAAACAAAATTAAATATGTAAGATAATTATAAAACATTGTTTTTTACTCTCATGTTTTCTTTTAGTTTAATTCTATTCGGTTCAAATGATATTCTACTTCGTGCATTTGGTCTTTGGCCAATACTTCTCATTAATCGTTCATCCTTACCTACTGATCAAACTCTTCTATCTGTAACAATGTCACCTTCTCTTGATACTCTTTGTCTATTAACACGTTGTGATGTATCAGTGAATTATTCATTATTTGAATGTACATCATTTTTATCTGATTATCATAATGATTATTTTCATTTAACACGTTCACTTTGTCGTATAAAAAGTTTAATTTTATTTAATGATAAAATTTTAACAACATTAACTGACTTAACAACAAAATGTTTTTCGGATTTTCAAGCACGTGTTAATACATTTTGTGAAACAATACGACAACAGGAAATAAAACAATGGACATTTCAATGTGAATTAATGTCATTATTAGCAACAGGCAATTGTTCTGAACATATGCAACAACATTTTTTTGGAAATATTTTTGATTATGGTTATGCAAAAAAATTAGTAACAACTTTTGATGAAACAAGAATTAAATCAAAAGAATTAATTGTTATTTTTGGAAGGTAAATAGAAAATTTATTAAATAAGATAGTATTTTATGAATTCATACATTTTTGTTTTTTGTTTCTTCTTAGAACAATTGAACATATATTTGGATATCTTGTAGAAATTAAAGGTTTACAACAATGGTATGGAAAATTTGATCAAATTGAATTTAATCCACAAATTCTTGAATGTAAGTATTAAAATTTACTTTCTCTATGAAAAACTTCTCAAGCTTCCCATTATGATAGAAATCGGAGATGTTGATGACTGAGTTTTTTTTTTTGATGCAGTCCGTTCGAGAACGAATCCGATTCGCCTCACGGATTCAATAGTTTCTTTCCTCTATCCGTTGGCTATCCGTGGATTGGGTCTACGAAAATTGGCCGAGAAATTTATAATAAAAGAACAAAAGCTTTCAGCTCTATGGAAAAAAAAGAACGTCAGTTCATAAATTATCTGTAATCCTTCGAATTTTTGTAGTAGTACCATGTAAAGGTAAAGCAAACGTCAGTCATTTTTTTTCGCGAATATTTACTTTCAAATGGCAGACAAAATAAAAACAAAGGGTGGATGTAAATCTTCTTACATCCACCTCATCGACATTCACACCCATTATATTTCTAAATAGATAGTAGAAAATTTTCAGACGAATTATTAGTGGATAATAAAAGTTCAAATATATCACTTAAAAATGGAACTTATTTCAAAATCTTCTTGAAATTTTTTTTTAGCATGTTTATATAATGCTGGTAGTCTTCTTTTAAAGATCAATGAATATACCGAGTACGTAACTCGTTCGACTAAAGCATAAATTAATTTTTATTTTTTTTTTTAGTTTTCTTCATGAAATGTCAGATGTTTATACATTTTTCTTACGTTGGCTTGGTTTTGGTATGTTTTTTATTTATCTTCATGTTTTAGTTTTTCTAAAAAAATTTATTTACTTAATATTAGTTGCTCATCAATTACATACATCTAAACATAATACAAGTACACATCATGATGAACAAATTGAAGTAAATAGAATTTTTTTTTTGTAAATTTCATTTTTGATTGAAACTTTTCAAAAAAAAATATTTTAGTGTACAGAAGCTGATTGGGATCATTTAATTGAATTTATTGATTCTTATTGTTCATTTGACGAACCTGTACTTGATATATTTTCAATGGTAAATTTTTTTAATCTTTTCTATTGCATTAATTTATTCATGAAATACAAATTCTAAGACGAACGTTGAAAAAGTATAGAACAAGATTTTATTAATTACAAACGATTATAGGCATAACCTCGAAATAGATATTTGTGTTTATTTTTACAAATTATTAAAAGAGAAACCCATAGATTTATGAACTAAAAAATTCTTCAGCAATATGGATTTAATTTTGCTTGATGAATCGAATAGAATATCGAGTATATAAAGTGACGAATAAAAGTTTAGAGCACTTTCAATATTCTATTAGTATCTCGTTATTGAAAAATAACTAAAAATTCTTTTTCTCTACGATGGTGATGTAGAATTGAATGATCTATATTTTGATGAAAAGTACATTTTGAATAATGATTAATATTAATTAATAAATATAGAAAAATTTTATTTTAACTTTCAACTTTCAAATGTAATGTCCATACGTACACATTTTTCAGTTCACAAAACAAGTTCGTTAGTTCATTAATAGAACAAATAAAATTAAATACACCAAAGAAGTTCTAATCAAACAGCAAAATAACGATGAATTAATCTACTTGATGATTTACATTGTTATTTTGCACTTATTCAGATAGAATGAGTTTCTATTACATTTGAAACATTATAAGCTTAAGACTAAGCTTCTATTCAGTGGGGAGGAGTTCATACTTGAAATCGGTCATTGACTCGATCCAACTGACATCTTGAAACCAGCTGGTCCAATCAAGTTAAAAAAAAGCTCGCCAATTCCAGAAGCATTATTTAGTTATCCTTGACAAGCTGTCTTTAATAATCAGAACTAATTCGTATTGCATAATTTAATCTTTCATCGATTACTATTAATAACATTTTTTTTTGTCTTCTAGTATTTAAAATCTGAAAATTTACCCGAAACTCTCATACGTGATTCAACTTATCGAAAATTATTTGATCATACAAGTATAAATATTTTCTTCTTGATAATCATTATATTAAATCATGTCTTTTGAATTAGATAGTAATAAACATACATTTTTTTCACCAAAACCACGACGATCTTTATTAGGTGCTTATCAAGATTTAAAACAATCAATTACAAAAGCATTTGAAATACGAACACATAATTCAATTTTTCAAATGAATAAACCATTACCATTACTTGCATCAATGTAAAATAAGATAATAATTATTATTATTATTATCAAAAGATTATTTATATTTTATTTAGACCAATTGATAATCAATCATCATCAACAATTGAATTTGATCATCGTCGAAGTCAACATTCAATTAGTTATGTTCTTCAACAAAATTCTTTACAATTTCATTTAATTATCTATACATCAACGTTAGTTAATAAATCAAAATTATCTCTTAGTTTATTTTGTTTTTATATATAGAAGTAAACAATGTCTTGTTCGATTATTTGATTTTCAACATATTCTTGGTCCATATCGGTATGTTTTAAATTTTATTAGAATTACTAAAAATTTTTTTGTTTTGTTTTATTCTTCTATATTTTAGTTCAATAGCAAGTTTTAAACTTTATGATGATGATAAATTAACTATTGTTTGTAGTAATACAATAGATTTAAATAATGGAAATAATAATGAAACAATATTATTTAATACTAATCATCAATCAAATTTAATGATTATTAGTTTTAAATCTTTAATAGATTCACAAACAATTGATTTTATAGCAAATAATAATACAAATACTATTTTATCATATCCATTAAAAGATATACCCTCTAAATTAACTGTTGATGGAAGACGCAATCTAATTGCTGTGGTATGTATATGTTTATATATATATATTATATATAATTAATCAAAAGATAAGTTATTCGACAAAGAGAAAATGATATTATTTGTTTAAACAGATCATAGATCAAACAGTAAAAAGTATATAATAAAGAAGGACATTTTGAAAGGTTTTTGAAATGAAGTTTTATTTAAAATCTAAAATGTATTAAATAAAATTATAACAAGTTCAATTTTTGAAAATGTTCGAGTGAGGCAACTTATTTTATTTAATAGAAAAATATTGAGGTTTTGATTTGAGACAGATCGATAAGTAAAGTTCAATGGTTTACAATAAACTAAAATTGTAACCATTTTTTCCTATTTGAAGACTAAGTTCATCTAATAATGAAATCAAGTCTTAATACAAAAATATTTAATTACTAATATGTATAATAAAGAAATGTTATTCATTTCCTTTCTCGTGATTTGTTCGATTGATAAAATTCGATAAAAGTTGTCGATCGTACGTAAATGAATAAGTTTTTTGATAGAAAAATGATAGTACAAGTAAAACTTCCCCCACAATAGAAGACTCCGAATTTTCTATTATGTCCAAGTGTACAAACTTTCCACGTGAGTCTTCTATGGTATCTCATTTATTTTCATGATTGTTTTATTAAAAAGACTTTTTTCGAAAAAACAATCCAGAAATGAAATTGAGCTTACGAATGAAGTTTCCAACTGATAAATCATTTTTGAGGCAAAACTACGTGCTTTATGTAGAACCAAATGAGCTATGAATATTCTAAAATTGTTCAGTCTCTTAGTTTATTGCTACCGAGATTTTGCATTTTTTTTTTACAATAGTTTCCATCAAGAACATGAGGAAAACTGATTTCTGAACTTCGACTTGAAACTTTGTATCGAGACAGTCCTTAATGAAAATAGTGTCTTGTGAATATTTTAGATCTTGTCGTTATTCCTATCTTATGATACAGCCTATGGTAAAAACTTGTCCTTTACATCGCTCATATAATAACGACAAATTCAATGTCCTTATCTTAGAATACAGAAGCAAATCAAAAGATTTGAAAATTTCAGAATAAGTTACTTTTGTTAAAACCTGTCTCTGTGCAAAGTTTCTACGGCATTCGTTTAAAAACTATCGTAAGTTTGCACTATTTACACAATAATAGGCTGAGGGCATGAACTCTTTTCAAGATATTCAAAATTCATTTTAGTCTACATGATACAGATAGTCAGGATTCAAAAGTGCATGATCAGTTAGGGAACTTCCTTCGTCAATCTATTAAAGATTTTTCAACTCAAAACTCCGAAAACTAGACATATTTTGATGTCAATATACTAATTAAAGTAACGGATGTTCGGAAATTTTTTCTACAAGATTTTTGTTTACTTTTGATGTTGTTCTGATAAGTCACAAGCTATGAGTTAGAATCAAAATTTTTGTTCCAAAGTAGTGAAATAATCTTTGAAAAGCTCAAAAACTTAGTTTAGACCACCGACATTTTCGGTGAACATGTTTGTTCATTGTGGTTTGCTTGAAAGCATTTCAGACGGGTCAAAAACTATAAGTCACAGCCAGAATTTGAATATAGACTTAGAAATATTTTTCTTCAAGAATAGCGAGAATATTTTAAAAGATCTGCACAATTATTTGTAATGATGAGTCAACAGGTTTTTTCATTTATCCTATAAGTTCTTTTTCGAACATGCGAAATAATTATTGAAGTCAGTCGTTTTGTAGAGTGGATACTTCTCTAAAAAATGTGATATTGAACTAAACTGTAGCATTAACTCAAGCATTTTTCAAGAATTCCTTTCAACATAAAATTATTGTGAATTTTTCAAATATGAGTATTGGGAAAAAACAAAATTGAGATGTCTTGCTCATTGAAAATACGGCAAAAGTGAATAAACAGCTTGTCGAAAGACTTTTTTGATCATCCGTTACCAATTTTGAGAGAAATTAGTTTATTAAGAAAGGTCGTCTATTATGAGAAGTTTAGCTTGACATAACAGCGTCAACTGAATGACAAGATTGGTAATAATAACAATGACTACACAATCACTAAAGCATAGTTCTATTCTAATTGAAACCAGAACAGTTGACCTCAAGCATAAGATTTCTTGTCAATCATAAGAAGAAAAAAAAACTTCTTTTTAATTTTATCTATATAAATAAATATTGAAAATTCATTATCAAATTCTTATTTCACAATTCAATAAGCTTTATGATATTTTCAATATTTATTATTTTCATTCATATTCAATCTATTATCATTCAAACGAAGTATATCTATTGTAATTGATGTGAACTTTCCTAAAATAATGATTACATCGATATGTCTTTTTTTTTTCTCCTCATCAGACGAGTTTATTTTCCTAACAATTTTTGTATATACAAAGAACTCTTTCTCTCTTCATAATTTAATAAACTTTGATATATATATATATATACACATGTTATTTCTCTTAAGAAAAAGCCCTTTTGCATATTCTCTAAGTGATATTTTCTTTTTTTATTTGTTTGTTTTTAGTGGGCAAAAAGTCGAAAGCTTACTACATTTATACATAATCCATCGGATGATATTAATCAAGGTTCATCTTCATCACAAATTCCTATTCGAATGGATGATGAAAGTACATTAGTACAATCTGGTTCAATAACAACAATGATTTCTTCACAAGAGAGTACAAGATCATAAAAAAAAAAAAAAAAAAAGGAAAACTCAATAACTTTCTTTAATCAAATTGTAATAGTTCATTATTAAATAAAAGATATTATCTTCATATATACATAGTTTTTTCATTGATCTTTTGCCGCTTAAAGGAAAAACAAAAGATTTCTGTTGATCGATGAAGACAAATCATCTAGATAGAAGCGTCTTTTATTTTTTTGAATAACAGACGAGCCGTTGACATTGTAATTATTCTTGGCTATTAGTAAAAACGATGACGATTTAGTGTAAATTATACTTATAAGAAAAAATCAAATATATCTCTGTTCACAGAACAAAGTAGGTTTTTTTTTTTGTTTTGTACATATGGACCAATCGGCTAATTTATATGCTTTATATCTAGTAAAAAGAAAGGAAAAAAGAAAAGAACATGACTGTCATTAATCTTCTTTAACAGCAACGGCACAATACACTCGTTATTATTATTCTGTATCTCTCTCTCTCTCTCTCTTAACTACGAAAGTAGCTTTTATTCATTTTCATAGATAACTGATTAATAAAATTAGAGCTGTGCATATATAGATTATATTGTTGGTCGAAAATTCAGTTAGAGAAATAAAGAGAGTTCAAATATATTGAATTAACACATAACCATGATGCATCATCATTCAGGTATTTATTTTTAAATTATATTAAAAAGAAAAAGTTAATTGAATTTATTATTCTTCAATAGTTATATTTAAAATTAATTATAAATATAATTTCTAATAGAAATTAATATGATAATCTAATTTTTATTTTATCATAGATTCAAATAAGAAATTATTTATACAAGAAAATAATGGTTCATTAATAGAGAATGATGATAATAAACGAAAAAAAAGACGAAATCGTACAACATTTACATCATATCAACTTGAAGAAATGGAACGTATTTTTCAAAAAACTCATTATCCAGATGTTTATGTACGAGAACAATTAGCTGTACGTTGTGATTTAACAGAAGCACGAGTACAGGTATGAAAAGTTTATCTTTATTAAAACAGATTTGATATATTAGCTTAATATTATCATAATCATTTATTAATACTCATTAACACATTTCTGTAAAAATAAGTATTTAATAACTTTTGTATTATTATGAAATTAAACTTAATATGAAACATTTATCATAATAAATGTAAAGTTTTTGCAGATGTATTAATACAACATTAATAACAATTTCTTTTATTAGAAATCTCGTTTATCCACATTAGTACTAAATAAATGTATAGTCATAAATACTCATATGAATATTTATAATTGCATATGCATTGATTTCTTGATGTGGATAGAAGAGTTTTCTAATGAAGATTATATAGAAACCTTCTGAATAAGCAGAAATCAGTATTGAAGTTGAATTGATTATCTGTAAAAAGCTATCATGATCACGATAGGTGTTTGTAGTATGTTTATAGTAGTGCAAAAGCACTAAATCATTTTTCTTCTTTTGGTACTAAAGTAACGAAGTTCTCTATTAAATGTATTCCATATCGAAGTTTCTTAGATGAAATGTGAGAGGAGGGTTTCTGAAAAGTTAAACACGATAGTTTTCAGATCTCAAACGATTTTGTTAAAATTAGTTTTTAAGAGTGCCATCTTAAAGATCACAAAACTCTGAATAAAATAAGTTGTCACTGTATGTCCTATGATCTTTTCTTAAAATGTTATAAGCATCACGAAAAAATTCGTTTTTACCAATGCTATAATAACTTTTGCTTTGTGATGCTTATAAAGAGAAAGTCACAGGGAATACAAAAAACACTCATTTTATTCAGAATTTTGTGATCTTTACGATGATGCTCTTAAAAAAGAAACTAATTTGCATGTAGTCTTCTGGAACGTGAAAACTGTCCTGTTTGGTTTTTCAGAAGCCTTCTTCTCATAGTCTATCTATGAAACTTCGATTTAAGTTAAATGCTTGGTATCGTAGGAAAATATTAAAAGTATGTTGGTCTTATATTTTTGACCAATATTAATAATATATAGTGGCAAACAAAAGTTTAGACCAGTTATATTTTTTTCAGTTTTCTTCTCGGTAGGAATAGCTTGAAAGAATCTGGAAAAACATTTGAGTAGCTAAAAGGATTTTCTATTAGGATTTGTGAACCTACCAGCTCCAATAAAACTGCTTGGATGAGGATGTTTGGAAAACTAAGACATACAAAACCAGTTTTCTGATATTCATTAGAAGCTTTTTGGAAGTGATGTTATTTGATAGAGTAAAATGTAATGTTTTGACTCTCTTCATCGAACTGCATTCAATTTATAGAAGACTAAAGAAATATTGTTCTTCTGTTTTTATAAAAAATTTCAATGATTTCGATGTGTTTGATACTTTGGAGCCTTCTATAAACTGGATGCTATTTGTTGAAGAGAGCCGAGACATCACATTTAGTTTTATCAAATAAAACTATTTCCAAAAAGCTTAAAATGGATACCGGAAAACTGGCTTTGGAAGTCTTGGTTTTTCAGACATTGTCATCCAAGCAAGTTTTATTGAAGTTTTTCGATTGACAAATTCCTTCAGCTATTCAAATGTTTTTTTCAGATTTTTCCTAGCTATTATCATCAAGAAGAAAACTCAAAAATACAGCTGCTCTAAACTAATGTTTGCCACTATAGAATTGTCAGTATCTTTTTTTTTGTAATAATGCTAAGTCAATATGTCAACGCATATGAAATTATAATTTGATAATCATAAACCTACTGAATAATCTTCGAGTGTGTCTTTATTAGAAAGATATTGGAAAATGATAAATTTTTTTAAAATCATTTATATTTATTTGATTAGGTTTGGTTTCAAAATCGACGTGCTAAATGGCGTAAACGTGAACGATATGTTAATGCACCTCAAATACATCCATTAGCTATGGCAACAACAAATCCTTATGATATATCATTACTTTCAGTTGCTAGTAGTCAATATCCTTCAGTAAAGAAATTAATAATTTGAATTTTATTTTATTTTTTATTTTTTAACTAACTATAATTTTAGTTGACAACGGCTAGTAGTTGGTGTTCATCATCGGCAAGTTCATTGAGTCATCTTTCTTTTCGAGATCATCATCATCATCATCATCATCATTCATCAACAAATTCATCACCATCATCTATAATGATGTCAAATGCATTACCAAATTTTCTCAATATACCTTATGCATTTCCATCATTATCACAAACATCTACTTCAACAAATAATTTTAATCCATGTTCATATACTGGATATAATATCAATTCAGATCATCGAACTACTTCGATTGCAACATTACGTCTTAAAGCTCGTGAACATAGTGTAGCATTTGGTAATATGTAAATATTGATAGTCCATTTTCGTTGATTGTTATCTCATTAAATATGAATAGAACAGTGGTGATTTGTTTTTTTTCTTTTGTATATTCAATGGAAAAAAAAGTGTTCAATTTGAATAAATAATAATTATCTCGAAATAAGTAAAATTCTATGATGATTATCAATTAAATATCTTTTACAAAGAAGAAAATTTTAAGATACGTTGAAAATCAATATTGATACCTATTCTTTATGCGGTTGAAGTCATTCATAGTTATTTGTTAACTTAATAGAATCATTATTCATATAAAACAAACATATTCACGTCGAAGTTGTGTACATGCATTGTCAAATACTAGAACAACATTATTCAAATATTTTGAGAAAACAAGTCTTTTGATTCTCAAGAAAACATATATTTGATTATTTAGTGTGAAACCAATGGCAATGAATTAGTATTTATGACTAATCGATGGTACATTTGTAATAAGTAATGCACTTACCTCAAAAGCTAGTTCATTCATTAGATGAAATTAATCAATAGTAATCTTATCTGATCAAACTGATCCTATTAACTCAGAACACTTACAAAAGATATATCCTATAATAACAATACACAATAAATAAAAGTGTTTCATCATCATTTGCTATGCTTACTGATATATCTCCTGAAATTGAACTGAATGCTTGTAAATAATTCTTAAATGTTCACTGCTCTTTCAAGTATGAAATCGGTTCTGAAAACTAGAAAGATCGAGATCTTTCCAAGAATATTCAAAGAGCAAGATTATCATGAGTTTTGTTTAAAATTGTCTCTCTCTATTTCTAAGATATACATAATACTTTATTCGAGTGGATGTTATGTCTTATTGATTTGTTTATAGACTGATAGAGATTGAAGAGCTACTTACAAATATATATACTTTACGCTACTGTTTTGTTGAAGAACAACTAATAGCACTAAATATATGATCAAAATCATATTTTGCTTGAAACAACTCTAGTTTCTATGACATTCTCTGTGAAATACGATTTGAAAAGAATGTTAAGGTATAGCAGTATAAATTTGAACCTCTCCCCCTCTTCTCCCTCACAAATGCGACAAGCATAACCGCGAGATCAAGATTCACTGTAGGATTAGTTCGATAGTTGTCCTTGACTTCTTTTCACACTCACTGTAATATATTGTGATTAATATCGACATGCATTAGCATTAGGTAGGAATTCACAAACCGAAATATATATTGATTAATCTCGCCTTTTTTATAATACCAACAGCTACACCATATTTCACATTTTAATCCTACAAGGATTGCGCTAACAGCTTTTCCTAATTCAGAAGTGGAAGCTGACTAGAAAATTATTATTTCCTTAGATTTAAAATTAATAACGTAAAAATCACTGTTCATATATCAAGATGTTTGTGAGAGAAAATAAGAGCAAACGTCTTAGCTCGTCTATATTATCAGATTTAGAGTTACAAAAGTATCCATTTAGGTTTTTATCAGATTGTATTTCATTAGTGAGAAAATTTGATACTTTTTTCATTTTGGTGACAGACGAGCTAAAAACAGTCTTGTCTTAAGCAGTCTTCATTATCAAAATTCACTTGGAAAACAAAGAAAATAGTGTATTGGCTTGCCTGTTTGCTACCGAAATAAAAAAAAAGTATTAAATTTTCTCATTAATAAAATACAATCTTAGAAAAAGAAACTACATGGATACTTATGTTACTCAACATTTGGTGATATAAATGAGATAAGACGTTTGGTATTATATTTTCTCACAAGCAACTAATAGGTTTGATAAAGTATTCATAAACACGTTCTAATATATTCGTAAGCAGCTCTTCAAGTACAATAGAATGATAAACAAATCAATGAGACATAGAGTCCACTCGAATAAGGTGTTATCCACATGTTACTATTTATTGTCTTTTGTATGACTTTATCTTTTTTTTTTTCATGCTATTTGCGTAGTTATAACTGATATCTCATTTACGTTTTACTTTTTTTTCTTTAAATAATAACTTTGGGAATTAAAAAAAGCGTACCCTTTGCCTTCTTCTAGAAAAAGATAAGATATTAGCGCAATCTCTGCAGGACTAAAATGTGAAACACGATAGAACTGCTAGTATTGTAAAAGAGGAAACTATAATTAAAATATGTTTCAATTTATGACTTCCTATTCTATTGTTAATTCATATCAATATTAATCACAATATATTTCAGTGAACTATCATACTAATCCCGTAGTGGGCTTTGATCTGACGGTTACTTCTGTCAGAGTGAGGAGACTTTGCTAAGGTGTCTATGGGGGTACTCAGGGATCTTCCAAGGTCACCAAGGTTGGAGAAGAGGCGACTACTGAGAAGGTAGAGCTCACAACGTTGAAATGGTCGATTATTGTTATGGGAATTGATCCTCCGTTTCTAATGATATACAAAGTTGATGCATATGATTCAATAGATATATGAGAATGAACATTCATATAGAAGAACATCTTTTAGAAGTTAATCTCTGCTAAAATATAGTTTTCAAGGAACATATGACACAATTGGTGTTGATAATTCACTTGTAGGTAAAATATTTGATGTTCTGTCTGATTGTATAATATCATAAAATAAAGATACAGTTTTTAATCTAGTAGTTTTTCTAATAATTAAACACATTAATATACTAGTTAAGGATATTACAATAGTAAAAAGTAATCCATTAATAAGTAATTTAGTTGAATTAAATTGATTTTTTTTATTTAAAAAATTAAATTTTATTAATTGATATTCATTTTCATTTTGAAAAATAATTTCTTCATCAATTAAACATTCATGAGAAAAAAAATCTTTTAAAAAAACTGTTCGACTTCGATTATTATATGTAACAAATATTTGTTTTATTATATTAGAATAAAAAATATTTTGTTCAATATGAAGTATTGGATAACCACAATTATGAAGAATAAAATGTATTTTAGTTGAAAATATATTTAAAAATGTATTTTTTAAAATATTAATTTGTTTTAATTGAAAATTTTTTGTAGTATCAAAAATAATAACATTATGATTATTCTTTATTGATGAATAATCAGAAAATATTTTATTATTATTATTATTATTATTGTTATTATTATCATCGATAAAAAAATTCGATGGTAATGTTAAATTATTAATTGATATTAATATAAATTCAATATTTATATGTGATAATAAAGTTTTACTAAAAAATTTTAATGGATCAGATTGATTTATTATACATCGTAGCCATAAACTATCAATAGATAATATTAAACAAGGTGCATCATGAGATTTAAAACGAACAAAATAATTATAAGAATAATTAGTTGATATTAAAATTAAAATAAAGATTAAAAGTTCTATTAACATAAATAATAGATATACAAACAGGCGCGCATGCTCTTTGGACTTTGGCATGGCATAATAACAAGTATAGTTTCGTACTGATTATCATACAAAAATATCCTTGTGGATATCCATTAGTAACAAAACAAACATCTATATCTTGATATAGAACATTTTTAGTTTTGTACTGTAAATCTATTTAAAAATAAAATAGAAGTGAAGTTTTTTATCTTAACACGTTGACTGTTCAGTGCATTATATATGATGCACGGTAGTTTTGACTGAGACGTCCATACATCACATATGATGCATTTGCAGTATAGAATATCTTAAGCTAGAATTTGCTAGACCGAATTAACTGACCACATGTAAACTATTGGGACGTATTAGGACAATATAAAGAATTATTCTAGTTCTTGAGTGAATCACATATGATGCACTGAACTTAATAAAGAGGTAGAAAAAATAGCGCTTTGTTCTTACTTTAAAATTAAAAAAAAAATAAAAAGTGTGCATAGAACAAGTATTATTTTTTTTCTTATGAGGACAGTCAATGTGTTAATCATTTTTCTATCATCTAATCAGTTAGGTCTTATCTATTTACTTTGACTTCATGATAAAATTATAAGAGGACTCTTCTAAAAATTCATTACACCATTCATTATCTTACGATATCTATTGTGCTGTTGCTTGAAGGGCAACATTTCATTGAGTTTAAAGTTTTAATAAAATGATAGGTTCACGAAACGTTTTTCCATTGATTTTAATATGTATTTTATTATCAATAGCAAAGAGCAGCTCTGATGATGTTATCGACAACGTTGTAGACACTAGGATAGACAACAATTCAACTACTATTGGTCCATCGACTGAAAAACCATTACCACTTTGGACAGGTTTTGTTGGATGTCTCGTAGCTTCGATTTTTTTTGGATCAAATTTATTACCTGTAAAACAATTTTCAGCTGGCGATGGATTGTTTTTTCAGTTTGTATTTTGTGTTGCTGTTTGGTTTGTTGGTCTTGTAGTTGATCTTATTATAGGCAATGAACGTTTCTATCCACTTGTACTTATTGGAGGTATTAAATAAAATCTTCTTTTTCTTTTTTTTGTTTTATTTTTTTAAAATAAAATTATTTTTAGGTGTACTATGGACAACAGGAAATCTCGTTACAGTATTGTGTATAAAGGCTTGTGGTCTTGCTGTTGGTTTATTGATATGGGGAACAACAAGTTTAATAATGGGTTGGGCAGGTGGTCGTTTTGGTATACTTGGTCTTACACCACAAGTACCAAAAACTAATTCAAAAATAGCATTGAATTATGCATCAGTTGTATTAGCTGCATTGAGTGCAGTATTTTTTCTTTTCATTAAATCAACAAGAACACCAAGAGTTGTTAGAAATTCTGGTATAAATGATGATAATTCAACAATTGAATTAGAAAAAGCTGAAAATATCAGTGATGAAGATGAAGTAAATGTTGAAACTGATTTTCCATTTCTTAATCGATTAAGTGATAGAGTACAACAAATATTAGGTTGTACTTTAGCTAGTATAGCTGGAATATTTTATGGATTAATGTTTATTCCTGATCAATATATTCGTGATCATGGAGAAAATTATAAACTTAATAATGAATTACCACCTAATAATGGTCTTTATTATATTAATTCACAATATTCAGGTGTACTTCTTTCATCATTATTTTATTTTATTATATATGCAGCATGGAAACGTAATAAACCATCTATTAATCCATCTATTGTTTTACCAGCTATGGTTAGTGGTACTATGTGGGCAATAGCAAATATTGGTTTTATTGTTGCTATTAGTGCATTAAAAAATGCCGTTGCTTATCCAATTGTTAGTGTTCTACCGGGTATTGTAACATCATTATGGTCATTATTTTTATTTCGAGAAATTCAAGGAAAGAATAATTATATATTTCTTGGTATTGGTATGTTCATTCGAATCCTTGCCGCTATTCTTAGCGGTCTTTCGGCATAGTTATTAGTACACACTGTTTTATTTTATTTTATTTTATTTTATTCTTTTTATGTTTATAGCATATAACCGTTTTGTTTTTATTTCATCTTACTTTTAGCAAATGACGACAAATAAAAGAACAAAAAAAAAGGAAAGAACTATAACGTTTAATATCACGATAATACAAGAACACAGAACAGTTAGTTAACTGTTTTACTTTAAGTCTTGATTAGCATGGAATAGAAACATAAATGAATTAATTTGTTGTTGTAGTTGTTGTTGTTGTTGTTGTTTGTTCGTTTTTATTTTCTTCATTCGTTTTGGCATCACTATTTGTAGCTTGGGTTTCATTCTAGAAAAAACAAAACATATACTTAATGTAAAAATTTATCAAACATACTTTTTCATTCTGTTTAGCCATTTTAGCAAATATACTAGCATATAATTGTTTTTCTTTTTCATGATAAGCTTTCATTTCTTCTCGACATTTTTGTATAAATTGTTTAGCTGCACTATTTGATGAATTTAATTTTAAAACTTCTTGAAAATCTTTCATAGCTTCATCAAAATTTGACATTGATAATTGACATTGACCACGACGAAATAAACATTTTTCATTTTTTGAATCTAATTCTAATACTTTGTCACATACTTGAATACATTCAGAATGTTCATTTAATTTTAAATAACATAAGGCAGTATTTGATTGTGCACTTAATTTTACTTCTTCAGCTTTCTTTTTATCATTTTCATTTTCATATGTTGCTGTTTGAAGATAGTCACCAATTTTCTTATATTTTTTAATCGCAGCTTGATAATGTCCATCCTAAATTATAAAAAAAATAAAAATTTGTAATTGATTAACTTATAAAATAAACATTCTTCTTAACAATGAAGATTTATTTTAATTCATGCGTGCAAAAGTCTTTTATAGTATCATAATTAAATGATTTACGCTATAATACAGATGAATGAATTCATTTCAAGATCAAACATTGATTTGCACTACCGTCGGTATCCCGCATTATTCATGAGCATTGAACGGTATACAGACAATAGATTGTCAATCAGAAAAGAATTATCTGAGAAAAATTTTCTAGAATTTTAATTTAGCGACAAGTTCAGAAAAAAAAACATCGAAATGTAAGTGATATAGTGGTATTTCAACAGAGGTGAAAAATCTGCTGTAAAAAGAGAAAATAACTCGAAGAATTTCCATAGACTCAATAGTTTTGAACAAATATCCCTAAACAATAAGTTCCAAAAAGATTTCTTCAAACACAATATTTTTTGAAAACTTTTCCAAACGCACGTCTGCTCATGCGGATAAATTCTGCACCATTGTATAAAGATATATCAGTATAACGCTATACTGCTTGTACAACAATAGCGCTAATGGCACTATTAGAGTCCATTGGGTCTGGGTATATAAATTTTTACTGATCAGACCCTTTAATTTATCTATAAAAAAACCAATAAAACTCTTCTTGACTATAATATTTAAATCTAGCTACTAATGGATTCCAGTTCGGTTTCAAAAAAATTTAATCGATCGGATCCAGAAATTTTTGG